GAGAGGCTGGGTAATGAGACTGGCCAGCAGCCATGCACAAAATTCCAGGTCTGTTTTAGAAGGATGAGGTGGGAGAATGGCTTTGGGGCATGCCTGAAGCAGAGCTCCCCCCACTGCACAGCACCCACAGAAAAGCAGAAGACACAGGTAAACTTCTAGAAGGTAAGATTGGCGGCCCGGGAGCGTATGGAGTGCTTCCACTTGTGTTTCGGCAAAGCCATGACTCGATGCTTCTGTACCCCTGGGGATACATATAAAGGTGCACGGATATTTGAAATATTTTTTTATTTATTCGTGAGAGAGAGAGAGAGAGAGAGAGGCAGAGACACAGGCAGAGGGAGAAGCAGGCTCCATGCAGGGAGCCCGATGTGGGACTTGATTCCGGGTCTCCAGGATCAGGCCCTGGACTGAAGGCAGCGCTAAACCGCTGAGCCACCCGGGCTGCCCCTGCACGGATATTTTAGATTGGGTTGGGCTTTTTTAATTTGTGGGAATTTAAATTTTTCTCCAAATTTTTATTTAAATTCTGTTTTTTGTGTTTTTTTTTTTTTTTTTTTTTTTTGTGGGAATTTTAAAATCTTTTTGAACTCACAGTAGTCCCAACACTCTGTGTGTTCACAAGGTGTTACGATCAGTAAGATGAACAGGGCTGTGGCATGGCACCAGTTCTGCTGCCAGAAGTCTCATGTGGCCCAGGGTGACTCAGGCTCTGGGCCTCAATTTTCTAAGATGGGGAGAGCCCAATTTTCCCTTTAGGTCAAAAACCAACTGGGATCAAAATGACCCTGAAGAGGTCACGGAATTAATTTCTTTGTCGTGACTAAACGCCGTTGGCCCCTGCTGGCAGTAGAGGCAGCCGAGGGGCACTCAGGATGTTCCCTGGACTCCCAGTGGGGGCTGAGTGCCTGTCCTGTGCCTGGAGGGCTGCGGATGCGGACTGCAGGGAAAGCCTTGTTCCTCTGCACGTGCATGTCCTGTCTGCAGGGCCCGTGAGCGGGGAGAGCTGAGTACATCTGGTCTGTTCCTTTTCCTTGACAGACACAACCAAGTACCTCCCGATCAGCAGAGTTGAGAGCTGGGCTGTGTTCTTAGCCAGTGGATTCTTTTGAAACAGGAGGTTGGAAGGTGCCCTTGGCATCCTGCCTGTGACAGCGCTGCTTGCTCTGGGGGCTGTGGTAGGGTCCGTGGGGCTGCGCCAGGGCAGCAGTCTGCACACTAGAGGGTCCTGTGCTGTCCCCCGTTTTCCAGGAAAATGCAGGTTTCTGTAGCAGAGGGATTGGTTTCAGGAGTGTTTTTGAGAAATAGCCCCCCTTTTAAATAAGCCCATCTCTGCCTCTGTCAGCTCTTCGTTCAGTTACAGAGCAGGGGTGCTTGTAGGGGTGGTTGGGGTTTACCATTGGTCCTCCTTTCCACGCTTTCTGTCCCCTCTGCTGAAAGCCAGCGAAAGCGGCTCAGCAAAGTCGGTGGAAATTCTGCGCTCAGTGGAGGCCCCGCCTGCCCTCGACCTGCGGTGGCTCAGGGGCTCAGGGGGTGTCGTCCCAGGCCAAAGTGGTCTAAGCAGGAGAGTTGTTGGGCGCCGGGCGGAGGGACTGAGCCCCTGGGCAGAGAAGGAGACGCTGGTGGGCTGAGTTCTCTGCCTTTTATTTCAAGAGAAAGTGGGTCCTTTATCACTGTCTCTTTCAGACCAAACCAGAAACCCAGATTGCTGATTCAGGAACAGTTGGCAAATCATTTTTGTAATGTAAATACGGCTGGTGGTCATTTTCAGAGATCTGAATGAGGTCCTTTGAGGGAACCTTCTCTCCCTGCACAGGGCTCCTTTGCTCACCGGCTCTCAAGCAGTCACCTTAAACTTGTCGGAACGGGTAGTGGTGGTGCAGGGTCCCGGCGGCCCATCTGCTGCTGCTCATGGCCGGTGCACCCTTGTCTGTCCAGGTTGGAGCTGGGGACCTGGATGGCTTCCAGGCAGACACGGAGGAGGAGGAAGAGGAGGACGGCGACTCTGTGATCCTGGACATCTCGGATGTTGGGGGTGAGAAGGGCCCCACACTCCTCTTTCACCAGCCTGGCAGGAAAGGAAGAATGCACGCCCTCTCATTCCCATACACCACCTGTCTGTAAACTGAGGGGCTGAGTCAAGAGACCTCAGGAGGCGCTGTGCGGGCTGGCCAGGTGTAGGCAGGGGGATCTGGTCCAGGGTCTGCAAGATCTGACTTGTCTGAAAGCTGCCGTGTGCACCCCAGGACGACTGCGGTAGCCATAGCAGAAATAGGCATGGTAACGCCGGCAGCTGGGTGCTGACCACAGCGTGGTGCCGTTCCGGAGGCCTCCCAGAGACCCCGCAGGGCTGCACCTGCAGTGCCAACCCATGGGCTGAGTCCTGGGAGGGGAGCGGTACAGTCCTGGAGTGGCCTCGACTGTAGATGGGCCTCAGGGAGACCTGAAGGAGGGGGAGGGGAGCGGAGTGGGTGGTGAGAGGGGCCAGCATTTGGCTCTTCCCAAGTGAGCTCAGGAGGGGACAGGGTCTGAGGGCCGGGAGCAAGTAGCTGTCGGAAGGGGGAGCTGTGGGGGCAGGGACTCAGGCCCCTACCAGGTCTGGGGGTGCAGCCAGCTAAAGCCCCTTCCCTCTCTTGCCTTGCAGAGGCCCAGGCCCCATGTGGAACCACTTCTGGAGCTGGGGGGTCCGTGGGAATGGACACCAGTGAGAGCCCCCTGCCTGCCAGCTCGCTCGGCCCCTGCTGAGTGCCCCGCTGGCCCGGTGTATGTATGTAGAATGGTTAGGGCATTCACAAACGCCTCTTGGATACTTGAAAGTCCTATGAGTCCTGTGTAAAGAGCACTTTGTCCTGCTTCGCAGACCTCCCTGGAGGTCTGGAAAGTTTTATATAGGATGTTTGATTTGTTCCTTATAATACTTGTAAAAACTCCCCCCCCCAAAGCTGCATATTAATCTTCCTTTTAATAAAGCATTATTGCGATGTGAGGACCTGTGCGGGGACAGCCCGGTTGCGCCTGCGGCCCCCAAGCAGGTGCTGTGATGAGATGCTTGTAAATGAGTTGGAGCCCCCTGCGGCTCTAGACCTGATGTGGGTGTGTATAAACTTACTGTCCAGCCCTGACCCGGTGCATCTGTTGTCTTTTCTAATGTTGTTTCTTGAGAGTGGGTATGTTCCGTCACCTGGGGCCGGGCCCCCGCTCTGTGCTGTGCTGGTGGGCGTGCACCCCCTACCCCGTGCGTGGTCTGTCCTTGTAGAAAGGGTTACCCCTTGCAAAAGCACCATCCCAGCCCTTTGCTGTGAAATCCTCAACCGCTATGCTGTCCTCATTCCAGGTGCAGCTTCCAGAAAGTGCTTCTGCTGGTCTGTCCCTCTTGCCCACCTGTTAGGAAACTATGGTTCTGGACTGATGTCTGGCTTGGGCCACACCTGTGCCTGGAGCAGCCCTGTGTTGGGGCTGTGATAGGCCCCGCAGTAGAAGCCTGGAGCGGGGGGCGGGGTGGTGGTGGCAGGTTTTGGTAGAGCTCCTGGACTCCTGGCCGCTCTGTCGAGTTCTGTTCCTGCTGCCCCCGCGGGAAAGGGGCACCTCCCATGTCAGTGTTCAGCATCCACCGGATTCAACCGAGACAGGGTGAGCCACCCCACCCTCGACACTGGAAGGCCAGGACCCTGATCCTCCTCCGAGGGCTCCATGCCTCCCACCCCGCTGGGTGAGGGCCCTGGCCAGGCTCCCTGCTGGAGTCCCTAAGTGCAAGGACTACCCCAGTCAGTCAAGTCCCCTGAAACTCCTTTGAGTTGGCCACCTGACAACTTGAAGTCAATTCCAAGTCACCAGTGGGGAGGAGACCGAGAGGGGGCAGCAGAGCTGTGGGGAAGCTAAGGCACATGCAGGGGCTACTTGCCGGCCAGGGCCTACGGGGCATTTTTGGTTTGGAAATCACATTGGGGCCTCAAAGCTTCAAGTCTGTCCATCACCGAGCTGGTGGCAGCCAGAGAAGCAGCCACCACAGGCCTCTGTGCAGGGAGGAGAGGGTCTGGAAGGGGCTGGGGCTGGGGCCAGGGTCGGCTTAGAGTGGGGGATGGTCTAGGTGAGGGGTTACCTCCCCTTGGGGTGTGACCAGGGGCAGCACCTCCTGTGCTCCAGACTCCGCTTCCCTGCCTACTCGTTTCCTGGGGCTGCTGGAACATATCACCACTTACTTGGCTTGAAGCCAAACTTGTTTTTACGGTTCTGGGAGTGAAAAGTTGACATGAGGCTCACGGGTTAGAAGCCGGGGGGGGGGGGGGCGCCTGGGTGGCTCAGCCATTGAGCGCCTGCCTGTGGCCCAGGGCGTGACCCCCGGGGTCCTGGGATCGAGTCCCGCATCAAGCTCCCTGCATGGACTGCATGGAGCCGGCTTCTCTCACCTCTGCCTCTCTCTCTCATGAATCAATAAAATCTTAAAAAAAAAAAAAACCAGAGTGGGGTGCCTGGAGGTTCTGCTAAGCTTTGCCTCAGGCTCAGCTCAGGCCCTGGAATTGAGCTCCTGTGGGGCTCCCTGCTCAGTGGGGAGTCTGCTCCCTCTGCCCCTCCTCAGCCTGTGCTCTCATACTCTCAAATAAATCTTTAAAAAAAAAAAACCAAACCAAACCAGCGCGGGCAGGACCAGTTCCCTCTAGAAGCCCTGGGGGACAGCCACGGGCCTGCCTTGCGGCCCCTCCACCTCACATCTGCTTGGTGTCTTCTCTGCCTCCTTCCCCCCCTTCCAGATGCTAGGACCCCGTGGTGACGTCAATCGCACGCACAGCTCCTTTACAGTCACATAGTTGCCACCACAGGGATGGGGCTGAGGCCGCGCCACCCCAGGGGCCCTTGCCGCACAGTAAGGACCGAGAACAGGGCCTGGGAGAGGCCCCTGGGCAGCCAGTGCTCAGCGGGTACCCACCTGCCCCCCCCCCGTGGGGCAGCTTGGCAGCTGCGGCCCCCACCCTGCGTGGCACAGCCTTAATTCAGCACCAGGAGACTAGTCAGATGTCCTGTTTATTCGGATTCAGATTCAGTTATCACAGAACCATGTCCTGACAGGCCCTACATCTATCTCCCTCTGCTGTCACTGTCTCCAGCAACCCCGTGGCTCAGCATCAGGGCCAGGGTGGCCACCTGGCCCACGCGGCAGAACTACTCTCCCTCCCAGGGGCTCATCAACAGGTGGCTATGGCAGGCTTGCACCCAGGGGGACGACAGGCAGCGGCCCCCCAGGAGCCCTCTCCAGGTGGCGGCCCCAGGCACAGGTCTCGGCCGTGCTCCTCCCCGGTGCCCGCAGTGCTCTGTGCACCCACCAGGGCAGGCAGTTCTGTGGGAGGGGGGGTTCCGGGGGGACGGGGAGGAAGCAGGAGAGCATGAGACAGACCCACGCGGGCTAAAGCCAACCCTGCTTTTATTTCACGAGAGCTTCTCGATGGCCGCCAGGAGCTCCGGTTTCAGAATAGATGAGTTGGGTTCGGCCCCGGCCGCCCTGATGTCGTCTAGCACAGCTGCGTCCCACGAGAAGGTCAGGAGGGCCGAGGGCACCTGGGGTGGGGCGACAAGCCTCAAGTCTCCCTCTAGCCTCGGTGATGGAGCTCGCCTCTCCACGCTCAGGCCCTCGTGCTGGAGTCGGGGCCATGCTCGCCCAGGCGGCTCCCTGCCAGTGACGGCAGCTGCCACAGCCTGTTCCCGCGGGCTCGGGCACCGGGCACCCGGCGGGACTCCTGCTTCCTCCCAGGGCGTCCCTCATCCCCCATCTGCCATGGTTCTGCCCTCCAGAGAACTCCGGGTCGATAGGTGGGAAGCAGGCACAGACATGTCATTTGGGGGCACGCTACACGAACAGGGTAAGGTGGGACTGGAACCCAGGACCCCGGCCCCCTGCTCTTACAGCGCCCAGTGATGAGAGTGGCCGCCCTGGGAGCCCGTCACTCACCAGCCCGCACTCGTTGAAGGCCAGGCTGTCCTCCTCCGACAACTTCTGCCCCCCCGAAGCCAGCAGGTCAAAGGGCAGCCAGTCGCTCTGCAAGGCCTCCCGCACGAAGGCGTACAGTGCTCCCACCCGCTCCCGGGCGTAGAAGGTCCCTGGGTGGGCGGCACGGTCAGTGGGGCTACAGTCCACAGAGCACCCACTCCCAGGGAGCCCCCCGGAGCCTCCCCACCACAGCGCCGGCCCCCACGGGCACCCACCCTGGAGGAGGCAGCCGTCGGGGAGGCGGACGCGCAGCAGCGTGTAGGTGTACTTGCGCAGCTCTCTCTGCTCCTCCCTCTCCCGCATGGCCTTGGTTCGCAGCACACTCAGCCGCTCCACGGCCTCGGACCGGAGCCTCTGTTCCCGCTTGATCTCTTCCGCCGTGAGGTTAAAGAAGTCCCCGGGCAGGTCAAACTGGGAGGCCATGGGCGAGGGCCGGAAGACCCGGCGCTGGCGGGCCAGTGTGGCCCGCACGGGCTCGGCGACCAACAGCTGATCCTTGTGTCTCTGCAGGCTCTGGGGTTCGGCCACCGCGGCCTCGCTCAGCACGTAGAACTCTTCTGGGCTCTCTGGGGTGCGCACAGATGTCACTCTGCTGCCGCAGGGACAGCCCCCACCCCCTCCCAGCAAAGCCAAGACCCTGCTCTGCCTCCCTTACCCTGATCGGGAACCGGAAGCAGTGCCTTCTGGAAGCCAATGGCCTCAAAAAACTCGTGGGTCCCTTCCAGGCAGTTAATGCGCTCCTGGGAGTGGAGCCAGAGGTCACATAAGGGCCTGGGGCCTCCGGAGGCCACTGGCCTCACTGCCCACCCTGCCCAGCTCAGGCTTCCCTGTCTTGGAGCCACTGCTAGCAGGGTGAACCTGCTGAAGCCGTCTCCAGACCTGAGCACGAACATGCTCGCCTCCACCAGCTGCTCGCAGAGGGCATGGGACCCCCAGGTCAACCACCAGGTGAAGGAGGAAACTGAAGAGCCAAAGGGCAAGAGAAGGGTCCCAGAGGTGGGGGAGACAGGCGGCGTGTGACCCTGGAGGCAGGAAGGGGCCAGGTGGCATCCACAGCCACCAGGAGACGCCAGGCACCCTGCCAGTGGTACATGCACCAGGGCGGCAGGACCAGATTTCTCCACAGGAACCACAAGTCTGTGTTTGCAGAAGAAATCTCACCAGTGCCGACGACGTCTTCCCCACTAATTGAAATCAAAGTCAAGGTGCGCCAGTGACGGCAGGCAGTGTGGACAAAATATGCGCGACCTGTGTTCACAAAGCCCTGGCTCCCCGGTTGCCACCTGCCGCCCACCTCCAGCTGGCGGCCGGCGGGCCACCTAGCTGCCTCCACCCTCGCTGGGGCCGGGCCCGCACAGGCCCTGAGGGACTGAAGCCACCACGGTGGCAGCCTCACCTGGAACACTTTGTTCTGCAGCTTGATCTTCCTATATTTCTCCTCCTCCGGGTGCAAGCAGATGTTGTCCAGGTACCTGGGTGGCGTTGGCGGAAGAGGGAGCAGCAACTGAGAGTCGTACCCGGCCTTGTGGTGGGAGTGACCCCAGAGGGGTGCCGTTGCACCTTGGCCACCCCTTGCAGCCCCCTCCCCACCACCGCTTCTGGGTGCTGACAGCTCCCATTGCTGCCCCCGACACAGCCCACGGGGGACCGTCGTTGGGCCTACTCCTTGGTCCAGCCTCCCCTTGAGGGCAGCAACACACAATAGTGGGGTGCAGCAGGTGCATCCAGAGAAATGGACCATAGAGTCTATGGGTCCCCAGGGGCGAGGGGGCTGGAGGAACACGGACTTCCTGGCATTCCGTCCTGCCCCAGGCCTGCTTGAACAGGTGAGAGTGGGTGCTACCCGGCCCCCTTCACACGTTGCTATGATGATCCCCAAGGAAAGCCAGGGCTGGGACCCCCCCCCCAATTTGGTAAACCCCCTTCGTTTTACAGACAGGTAAACTGAGGCCCTGAGAGGCCAAGCCCCTTTCCTGAGGGCTTGGGGAGTGCCGGGTGGGGCCTGGCTGCACTCCCAGTGCTGTGCGCCTTCCAGGCCCCCCCAGCAGGTTGTGGTGGAGGCCCCAGGTGCCGGGAGGGGTGGGGAGGGACACCCTGGTGAGAGGGCAGCAGCATGCTCACTTGGCAATGGTGTCCACGCCCAGCTTCACCTTGTCCCGGTCTCTGTTGAATGTGTGGATCTTCATGATGGAAGCAGCCACTGGGTCGGTGGAGAAGTGCTGGCGGGAGGGACAGAAATGCATCAGGCATCCCCTCCCTCCTCCCAGCAGCCCGGTCTCACTACTCAGGTGACAACAGTCAGTCCAGTGGCAGGCCATGAGGGTTTCACTGAAATAAACTCAACTGTGCATTCTAGGCAAAGGAAGAGAAGAAGACCCCCTTCAGTGACTCCAGCCTAGGCCTCACCCTGCCCTCCCCTCTAGGGAGGAGGGGGCGTCACAGCCCAGATCATGCCACCTCCGGTGCTCCACCTGACAGACCTTTGCCAGCCCAGTTTTCCATTTCAGTTGCCAGGGTGGGACAGGAGGGGACACAGACGTAGAATGGCTGAGAAAACAGGTCTGCAGAGGAGAGGTGGACACACAGCAGTGAGAGGGGGGATATTCTCAGGACGTGGCCGGGCCCGAGTGACCACCCCAGCCTCCTCGGAACCTCTGCAGACCCCACCCTCACCCCCCCAGGGAAGAGCAGCCGCTCTTCACAGGACACAGGACAAAGGAGCAGAATGTCCAGAAAGGAGGCAAATCCATAGAAGAATCTACTTTGTGATAAAGATAGATTTTGCAGCTAGGACCAAAAAGCAGATATTTTCAATTAAAGGGGGGGTGTAGGGGGGTGAGGTTGGGTAGCTATTAGGGGAAAAAAACACTGGGCAGCCCATGGCTCAGCAGTCTGGTGCCTGCCTTTAGCCCAGGGCATGATCCTGGAGACCCGGGATCGAGTCCTAGGTCGGGCTCCCCGCAAGGAGCCTGCTTCTCCCTCTGTGTCTGTTCCTCTGTGTATGTGTGTCTCTCATGAATAAATAAATAAAATCTTTAAAACAAAACAAATCAAAGTTTTAAACTTTAAACAAAAACCAAAACAGAAAAACACTAGAAAAACTATGGAAAAGGGACACCTCGGTGGCTCCGTGGTTGAGCGTCTGTGTTTGGCTCAGGTCGTGACCCTGGGGTCCTGGGATGAAGTCCACATCCGGCGCCCTGCAAGGAGCCTGCCTCTCCCTCTCTCTGCCTGTGTCTCTGCCTCTCTCATGAATAAATAAAATCTTAAAAAAGCAAAAACAAAAACAAAGAAAAACAGAAGAATCATCTTAATTGTAAAGTGGGGAAGACATTTCTAAGTGTGCCACAGCACGCAGAAGCCTCAGGACCAACACATTTAATTACAAAGATCAAAAACTTCTACGCGGGGAAGCAACCACAAATGCAATCAAAAAGTAAAAAATGAAAAGAAAATATTCACAGTTCATGTTATAGGTAAGAGACCAGTTTCCCTGACCTGTAAAGGGCACCTACAAATCAACTTCAGAAAAAGTCCAGGGGCCCTGGGTGGCTCAGTTGGTTGTGTCCGACTGTCTAGTCTCAGCTTAGGTCTTGATCTCAGAGTTGCGAGTTCAAGCCCTGTGTTGGGCTCCACACTGGGCATGGGGCCTACTTAAAAAAAAAAAAAAAAACTCCAACAGAAAAATGAGCAAACGATGCATTCTCCTATGAAAACAGCCAATCTGAGCCAAAATGTAGGAAATGCACATTAAAACTATCCCACGATGTTTTCACCTATTGATTCGGGCAGGGAGAAAGAGTCTGCACATCCGCAGTGACGCAGGTGCTTTGTGAGGCGCTGCTGGAGGAGCGGGATGGGGACAGCTGCCACGGTAGGCTTGGCTTAAAAAAAAAAAAAAACAACTTTTTTTTTTAAAGATTTTATTTATTTATTCATGAGAGACACACCCCACACACACACCTCCTTCCTCCGGGGCTCCCTCCCCGGGACCTGGCCCACAGCTCCAAGCAACGAGCAGCCAAGGCTCCGTCACCCAACTGTTCTCCATGTGCTCCTCAGCAAGGGGCCGGCCACACGGCTACAGGACTCAGGTGAGGTTACTAGCAAGAACGCACAGCTTTACAGCTTTCCCTCAGATGGTTCAGAAAAAAACTAGAAAGGGGCAATAGAGTACTGGGGAAAATCCTTAACACCTGGGACCTTGGGGAAGGGCGACAGGCATCCCCATCCTCAGTCCTGGGTCACGTGACTATGCTTAGCTCCTCAGCAAGAGGGCAGTAAGGAGGCAGATGGAAAATTAAGGCTGCTAATGGGAGGGCCCTAAAGCGGGGAGATTAGCCTGGATCATCCTGGTTGGCCACGTGTAACGTCCAGGTCCCTTCAAGGGGAAGAGAAGACAGGTGGAGACGGGGCCTGGCCTCGCTGGCTGTGAGGACAGAGGCAGGCACCACGGACGGCCTGGACGCCGGACACGGCCGGGCCGCGCACTCCACCCTGGAGCATCCAGAAGGAACTCGGTCCTGCTGCCACCTTGATTTTGGCCCAGGGTGACCTGTGGCGTGCCCCTAGCTTCCAGGACTGTGAGGAATGGGTGCTGCTCAGAGCCACCAGCTTCGTTACAGTTATGCCGGTGACAGGAAACTCGTACCCTGGGTGAAGGGGGCTCAGAGGTTTGACAGCTCTGCGTATATGGAACCTCTCTCTGAAAAGGGTTGGAAACCACTTAGACTGGTGGCCTCCAGGCAGGGTGGCCGACAGGTGGCTCTTGCCCACCCACCCTGGCACACTCTGAATCTCAGACCCGCCCAATACTGCCTCTTCAGAGACAGGAACACACACCATCCACGCAGGCGGCGGCGTCACCAGGGACCTGTGCCACCAGCTCTCTGAAGCGGCTCTGGAACCATGGGGGGCCGGGGGGAGCAGGGGGGCAGGACACGGGCGGGCACTCACCGAGAGGATGGCCTCTTTGATGTGGGCGTCCCGCTGGTCCTTCCTGAGCGTGGCCCCTGTGAGCGGGCACGTGAAGCACACCCCGGGCACAGCCAGGTGGGCTGACCCCTCCTCTCTGGGCTTGGGCACCTGGGGGGATGGGGGTGCAGGCTCGGAGTCTGACTGTGGACAGAGGCCGGCCCGAGCCACAGCCCAGGGACACCGGGCCCTGCACCCAAGCCCCTCCGAGCCCGCCTTCTGCTCCATAAAACTGCTCTGCGGGGCCAGCTCAGAACTGAAAGAGGTGGGAACAGAAAGCATGTGGCAGCTTTGGACGTGGAGCCAACGCTCATGGGGGGGGGCAGGACTCATCGTGCCCTAGATGAGCCCAGACCGCTCTCTGGACCTCGGTCCCTACGCCCTGTTCAGGGCCTCTCCCACCTAAACCTCAGTGAGACCTCAAGGGTCAGGCTGCTCAGGTCCTTTCTGCCACACTGGCCTTTAAAGTCCACCTCCCCCAGCAAGGCCTCCCTGATTACACCAGTCTCCGAAGAGCCCTCCTACCTCCCCGGAAAGCGGCTGAGGGCAGGAGTCAGTACCACTTCAACGGCAGCCTGCCTCCACCGTTCCAGGCAGGGTTCCCCATGCTGCCTTTGTGCACAAGGCCAGACGTGACCTCTACCCACCCCGGCACCGTGAGCTTACAGCCCCGGGCTGGGCACCCGACTGGTAACGAGGAGATGGCCGACCAGACCCTGCTCCGGGATGCCCCTCGGTGCCCTGCTGCCACGCGGAGGTTTTTACCATGTTGGTGCCGGGGGCCTCCGTGCTCCCACTGACAGTTGCTTCAGCTCGAAGTTCCTTTCTCACTGGAAACAGGGCAGAGACGGGCGGGTTGTCGGCTCAGCTCTGTCCCCAGGCACCCCCACCCTCCCCCGAGACAGAAGTGGGTCAAGTTCTAGTCCTTCCCCCCTCATGGTCCCCCTGCCTGAGCCTCTCCCAGCCACCCCAAGGCTTCACCTGACCACCTGATGGCAACCCTGTCCCGGCTCCCTTCCGCCCTCTTCAAGCTCCCAGACCCCAGACCCCAGAGCCCTGGCACCTCCCGCTCTCACAGCCTGAGACTTCCAAGCCTCCAGAGCTGCTAGTCATGTAATCACCCCCACCCGGGGCCAAGCACAGGCCTCGCTCCACCTCCCCGCCCTGCCTGGGAGCACGCCACAGCTCACCCTGGTTCCGGATGGACTCCTGAGACGTGGGGCCCCGGGCCTTGGGCTGCTTTTGTTCAAGCCGGGCCAGGGCTGCTGCGGCCGCCATCTGGGCCTCATTGGTGGGTCCCTGGCGGGGCTGCCGCACTGCTGGCTGGTTGGGTTTTTCTTTGGGGGCTCTCTCCCTGGGGAGAGACAGAGGGAGAGTGAGGGGACAGGGGATCAGCCAGAAGCGCCTCTGTCCCTCTCCCACTCCTGCCCCATTGGACACACCATCCCTCTTTCCCAGGGGCCACCCGCGGCCACTAGAGGGTTCTAACAGAAGAGCCCCCGCGGCCCCATGGCAGTCCTGCTCCCAGCTCTGCCCCTCAGGGCACATCCTGCGTGGGCAAGGCCTCGGGTCATGGCAGCCCCGCACATGGGCCACCCGGTGCAGCATGTGAGCAGACGCCCTGTCGCCTTCAGAAACCGATGAGACTCAAAGACGTCACTCCTCTCCTGGCTCCCCCTCCTGAGTGAGAGCAGCCCTTCCAGGCCAGGACAGCCAGGCGCACGGGCCGCGTGCCCAGAACTGTGCCAGGCCGCATGGTCACACCTGGGAAACAAGCTCGGGCTGCGTGCTCCCGGGTGCACTCAACACAGAAATGACCTGCCTCCCCTGCGGAAAGTCCTCCCTCACACCCCGCTGAGTCACCTGCCTCTCCTCCTTCCCTCCAGACCTCTCCCGACCCCACAACTTGGAATTACCTGTACTACACCGCAGAGCTTTCTGATTAGCCAAGGCTCTGGCTTCGTGGCCTCACCCCTCCTGCTCTGCTCAGACACACAGGTGGCCCGCTTTTCATGACCCAAGGCCTCTGGGACCTGCTTCCTGTCCATCCCTGCCCCTCTGCCCTCAGCTGACCACCTCGGGTTGCAGAAAAGATGAATCCTGTAGCCCCACCCTAGCCCCATGTGACATTTACTTCTATAAAAACACCATTTTTAAGACACCTCACCTGCCATCCCAGGCTCCCCTGGGCAGCCACGGGAAGCCTTCTAAAACCTAAGCCCAAGCTTGTCGCTCCTGCACCAAGCCCTTCCACCACACGCCCGACACAATCCTGAGGCCCCCTTCACAACCTGCCCGTTCTCCGCCTTCACACCTCTCCATCTACGTTGCTTTCCCGCTGTTGCTCCCACAGGCCCAACTGGGTCCTACCACAGGGCCTTTGCACATTCTGCACCTTCTGCCCGGAATGTTCTGTCTGCATGTAAGATGAGGAAGGAGGTCTGGGAGCTGCTGGGGCTGCTTCAGGGTGTATGTGTGAAGGAGACTGCTTTCCACATGGCTGAACCTCACCTCCTCCAGCTCTTGGCTCAGATGTCTCCTTCCCAGAGAGGTGTTCTGGGATGCCCTAACAGTCTCCAACCTCATTTGCTGTCCCCTGACCCAGCTTATATTTCTTCCTGGCCCTGAGTACCACCTGATCTCTCACCACATGTGCACTGGTTTATCTGTCCATCTCTCCCTACTGGAAGGCGAGTCCTGAGACTGACACCCGAGACACCCATGACAGTCCTTGTCACACACTCTGAGCCCCAGGCCTGCCCCAAGTGTGTCACAGAAACCTGGATCTCCACGCTACCTCCCTCTTCTCTCCTCCCAGGCCTCCTGGTGGACACAGCCATCGCCCCCGCGGCCCCCCCCCCCTTCCTGGAAGGCTCAATCCCTGCTCCGCCAGCCCCCCCTCCCTCCTCTACTTGCTGAACGCCGAGTGGACCCCCTCGTCTGGTCCACTCCCCCTCTGATCCCCCCGGGCCCTCTCTTAAGCGCCCTCCTCTCTCCCAGGACCTGATGCAGTCCACCGGGCCTCCCTCCCCGACTCAGGAACCTGGCCCTCATGGGGCTCCTTCTTCCCAGTCCCAGGAACCCTGGATCCCCATGACGGATGCCCTGATGTCATGCACGCACTCTCCCTCACCCACCCCCGCTGCCCCACGATTCCCCTGCGGCCCTGCCTCTCCCGCCTACCCCTCACAGCCTCCCTCTCCACCACTTCCCTCCTAGACCCCACTCAGTCCCCAGGGCCCCCATCCCTGAACACCCCCTTTGCTCGTGCCACCCCCAGAGGAGCTTCCTTCCCAGCCCACCGGGGCCGCCTCCGACGGCCCCTGCTCCAGCTCCTCCGGCTCCTCCCCACCGAGTCTCCAGACTGGCCCCAGGCCCTTTCCTTCCGTCCACAGAGGCCTGCGCGTGTACTCCCCCGACCTTCCCTCTTTCCGTCGGCCTCAGGACCTCCCTCCTGACTCAGCCTTCGCCCACAAGGCCCCCATGTCCCCCGGCACGAGGCCCCGAGCTCCGCACCTCCACCAGCCGGCCTCCGCGTCCCTCCCCGACCTTCCTAAACCGCTCGGACCCCCGCTCCTCGCCCCCCCCCCCCCCCCCCCGAGACCTCTTCCAACACCGCCTCGGGCACCCCGTCCTCCCTCCACCACCAGGGCCGGGCCGCTACCGCCGCGGACGCTACGCCTCTGCATCTTCACAACCCCAGCTGCGACCTCCAAACCCTCGGGTTCCCCCGAATCTAGGCGACGCCCCTCAGGCCCTCCCCGCCCACCCGCGGCCCTGCGGCCGCTCCGCGGACCCCCACCTCGCTCCCTGCAACCCCGCCCCCCGGCCCCCGCCAGCCCCGCCCCCTCGAGCCTCGCTCCCCGCCCCGCCCCCGGAGGCTACCCACCCCCCTCGACCCTCGCCCCCCGTGCCCCGCCCCCAGAGGTCTCCCCCCCGCCCCTAGCCCCCTCTGGCCCCCCGCCCGTCCCTGCTCCCGGGCCTCAACACCCAGCGCAGGTCACGCACCCCACGGACTCCGTGAGCTTCTGACCAGGCCCCGCGCTCTTGAACTTGATGTCAGCCTTGATCTCCTGGAAGAATTTCTTCATGGTGGCGGCGGGCCCGGCGGCGGGGGGCCGCGGGGGGCGGGGGGCACAGGGCCCAGTCGGGGTGGGGCCGGCGGGCGCGAGCAACCGGAAAGAAAATACCTCGCTGCCGGAAGTCCCGCCTTCGCGCGGCCGCCCACGTGACAATCGACCGGGCGTGCCTCTCTAGCTCTCCGCGCCTCGCTGGCCCACGGCGGCCGCTCCGTACGCTCGCGGCGCGTCTCGGTGCTTCTTCCGGATACTCTGTTGCCAGGGGCGACGAGCGCGCTTCCCGCCGGAGGCTGCGCCCGAGCTCCTTGCACCGCGTTCTCCGAGCCGGCGATGGGGGAGGGTGGGACCGGGCCACCGAGCCTCGGCCTGCGTGGGGCGTCGGGGCCGAGTGGAGCCACGACCGTGCCCGGCGCTGGGGTTCCCTCGGGCACACGCGCTGGGGGACGCGGCCCCGCGGGGCTAGGGCCGGGGCGCCCTGACGTCATCCTGGGGCCTCTGGGATTCCGGGAAAAATCCGGTGCAGCCCCAACTGACCCTGCGGAGCTTGGGTTCCCTGAAGCGCCCGCCTCGGAGGAGGATTGCGGGGCTCATGATGCCGTCAGAAAGCTTTCAATAAATGTCACCCGTTATAATGACTCGTTTCCTATTTGGGAGTCGGCCTTGTTAGCCGGGAGGGAAACCACTCCCTGACCTCGCAGACCTCGCGGCGGCGTCGACGGGTCAAGTCTGCGGCAGGGCAGGTGGGGTTAGGTGCTCAAGGGAAAAGGTGGACGCAGGGAACGAGACAAAAGGTTGGCAGGGCGGCCGCCGAAATGCAGGGTGTCTGGGCATCAGATGATATAAAGGGTCTTCAGCAGACTCATTTTTAGGAGAAGCACACCAGTAGCTGCGATTCATTTGGGTTTTGTTCTCTTTTCAAAGCTTTCATCCATTTTCCCCACGCCCTGCCCCAGGCAACCCACCCACCTGCTCTCCTTATCGATGAGCTCGCTGGGGTTGGTTCCTCATGTCCTCACTTTTGTTTCTGTTCCTCATATGAGAGAGATCCTATACTGTTTGCTTTTCTCTGACTTACTTCATTTATTGCCCTTGGGGTCCAATGATGTTGTCACAAATGGCAAGATTTCATTCTTTTCTCGGGTGAGCGATGTTCCGCTCTATTTCCACACCACCTCTTCTTTATCCATTCATCCATCGTGGGCGCTTGGGTTCTTTCCATAGTTGGCCATCGTGAACTGTGCTGCAATGAATGTGGGGGGTGCGTGTATCTTTTCTAATTAATGTTTTTGTTTTCTTCAGGTACTCAGAAGTGTAATTTTTGAGTCACATTACTTCTATTTTTTTTAATATTTGAGAGATTTTATTTATCTATCTAACAGAGAGATGGACAAGCGGACTCTGCACCAAGCTTGGAGCTGATGCAGGGCTCCATCCCACAGCCCTGACATCATGTCCTGAGCCAAAACCAAGAGTCAGATGCTCAACTGACTGAGCCACTTAGGCACCCCCGATACTTCGGGTTTTAATATTTTAGGGGCCTTTATTTACACTGTTTTCCACGGTGGCTATAACAATTTACATTCCCACCAGCAGTGGATGAGGCTTCCTCTTCACATCCTCACCAACACTTGTTTGTTGTCCTTTTGATAAGTCATTTTAGCAGGTGTCAGGTGAAAGTTTGTAGTTTCGATTTGCATTTTCTTTTTTTTGTTTGTTTTATTTATTTATGATAGGCACACAGTGAGAGAGAGAGAGAGAGGCAGAGACATAGGCAGAGGGAGAAGCAGGCTCCATACACCGGGAGCCGGACGTGGGATTCGATCCCGGGTCTCCAGGATCGTCCCCTGGGCCAAAGGCAGGCTCTAAACCACTGCGCCACCCAGGGATCCCCGATTTGCATTTTCTTAATGCACCTTGTTGATCACCTTTTCTTGTACCTGTTGGCCATCTATATGTTTTCTTTGTTTTTTTTTTTTTTTTTTTTTTTATGTTTTCTTTGGAAAGATGTCTTCAGATGGAGGAAGGAGCCCTGAGCTAAGAAATGCAGGCAGCTTCTAGAAGCTGGAAAAGGGAAGGAAAGGGATTCTCCCCTAGAGCCTCCAGAAGGAGCACCATTTGGCCAACACATGGATTTTAGGTCAGTGAGACTCTCTAAAATGGAGAAGGTAAACTTGCATTATTTTAAGACACTGAATTGTGGTAATTTCTTACATAAACAATAGATAAGGAAAGCAACCCCTAGATGGTGGGACCCTATTTCTTTATTTCTTTTTTTTTTAATTTTTATTTATTTATGATAGTCAGAGAGAGAGAGAGAGAGAGAGAGAGAGAGAGGCAGAGACACAGGCAGAGGGAGAAGCAGGCTCCATGCACCGGAACCCTGATGTGGGATTCGATCCCGGGTCTCCAGGATCGCGCCCTGGGCCAAAGGCAGGCGCCAAACAGCTGCGCCACCCAGGGATCCCTATTTCTTTATTTCTTAATAAGCTCTGATATTTCTTGTCAATTTATTATTTTTAAAAATTTTTATTTATTTATTCATGATATATATAGAGAGAGACAGAGGCAGAGACACAGGGCAGAGGGAGAAGCGGACTCCATGCTGTGAGCCTGATGCAGGACTCGATCCCAGGTCTCCAGGATCACGCCCTGGGCCAAAGGCAGGCGCTGAACTGCTGAGCCACCCAGGATCCCCTTCTTACCAATTTATAAGGGAGGTTGCAAAGTTCTAAACACACTGTCCATAGTCCCACAACTTGCAGAGGGAAGATTCAAACCCAGGACCAGCAGATCTAATGATACTTTAGTTAAGTGCTTCACAAATCATAATGCACACTCGAGTCTCACGGAAAGCTTGTTTAAATGCACATTCTGATGCATAGGTCTTGAGGAGGCTATGATTTTGCATCCCCATCCCCTCTACCTCCCACCCTCGCGCAAGAGTGCAGGAGGCTGTTTTAGGGGGACGAACTTCCCCTGGCGCTGAGCAGGCTCATAACAAATGATTATGTTACCCCTACAGCTCAGATAGGGGGCAGCTCTTGGGTAAGTAGAATCCAACACTCTGGGGGGTTCCAACCCCTGGTACTACCCCTCTGTCTCAGTTTCTTCATCTGGAATCAGGGCTGACAAACAACTGACATGGGAGTGAAATTAACTATGTGAATAACATACCACATAATAGGGCTTGGGAGCACCTGGCTGGCTCAGATGGCAGGGCATGCAAATCATCTCAGGGTAGCGACCTCTCGCCCCCCTCATTGGGGGTAGAGGTTACTTAATATGAGGGGCGCCTGGGTGGCTCAGTCAGTTAAGCATCTGCCTTCAGACTGGATCAGGATCTCAGAGGTCTGGAATCCAGCCCTGCATGCTCAGTGAGGAGTCTGCTTCTCACTCTGCCCCTCCCCTGCTCACTTGCACATGCTCCCTCTCAAATAAATAAATAAATCTTAAAAATTAAAAAAAAGAACATTTAGGGAAATAATTCAAAATGTTATTAAAGGGGCGCTTGGGTGGCTCAGTTGGTTAAGCTTCTGCCTTCCGCTCAGGTCATGATCCCAGGGTCCTGGGATTGAGCCCCATGTCTGGCTCCCTGCTCGGCTGGGGAGCCTGCTTCTCCCTCTCCCTCTGCCACTCCCCCTGCTTGTTCTGTCAAATAAATAAAATTTTTTTAAAAGTTATTAAAATTAAAATGATAATGTGCCTGGAACATATTGACTACTCAAGAAATGTTACTGAATTTTTTTTTAATTTTTTTAAATTTTATTTATTTATGATAGTCACAGAGAGAGAGAGGGAGAGAGGCAGAGACATAGGCAGAGGGAGAAGCTGGCTCCATGCACCAGGAGCCCGATGTGGGATTCGATCCCGGGTCTCCAGGATCGCGCCCTGGGCCAAAGGCAGGCGCTAAACCGCTGCGCCACCCAGGGATCCCATAAGATTTTATTTATTCATGAGAGATACACAGAGAGAGAGACAGAGACAGAGAGACAGCCAGAGGGAAAAGCAGGCCCCACCAGGGAGTGCGACATGGGACTCGATCTTGGGTCTCCAGGATCATGCCCCAGGCTGAAGGCAGGTACCAAACCGCTGAGCCACCCAGGCTGGCCTATTTATTAAAGATTTTAATTAATCTTTATTTGAATTTATGACCCTGCAATCAAGAGTCATGTGCTCTAGGGACTGAGCCAGGCTGGTGCCCCTGAATGTTACTTATTATTGTTCTTGGCTAAGTGTGGAATAAATATTTCCTCATGATCAACCCCCAGTAAACTGGGACCAGGCCTGCAGCACACAGTAGGTGCTTAGGCCATCTGCTGGTGAGAGGGGGCTGTTGTAGTTCTGGGTGGCAACGGTGGCATCCTCTCTAACTTGCCTGTTCTACCAGGTGCCAGACCCCATTTCTTAGGGAACAGGAAGTAACCTCACCTCCACAGGTGATGACTCACTGCTCAACCGTTGTCTTCACTGGCCTCCAGTCTGGCAGAAAGACATGGATCCTATCCTGCCTCAGCCTGCCACTTTGGTGGGCCCTCCCCACCTTCTGGGGTGGTGCTGGCCCCAGCTTTCATCAAAACCTGATCATTTCCCAGCTGCTCAATGTAGCTCAGTGAGGTCTGGGCAGGAGGTCTGGTTTTCTGCACCAGTTCAAGGTCTGGGGGAAATGTGTGCACAGAACCAGGAGGGCTTTGGAAATGGGGATGCACAGAAGTGGCATTTGAGCCCTTGGACCTCATGTATGACCTCAGGCAAAGCATGCCCTCCCCCCCCCCCCAGGGCCTCAGGCCTCATCTCTGTATCTAATTCAGGCCCCTCCACACCATCTTCCTCACTCCTTGTTTGACTTCCACGCTTGTCCCCTGTGTGATTTGGCAAATATAAGGACAGCCCGGGTGGCTCTGCGGTTCAGCAGTTTAGCACCGCCTTCCGCCCAGGGCGTGATCCTGGAGACCCGGGATCAAGTTCCATGCCAGGCTCCCTGCATGGAGCCTGCTTCTCTCTCTTGCCTGTGTCTCTGCCTCTCTCTCCCTCTGTATCTCTCATGAATAAATAAAATCTTTAAAAAAAGTTATATTTTTACTGTGGTAAAATACACACAACATAAAATGTACCATCTTAACCATCTCTAAGTGCACAGCTCAGCGGCATAAGCACACTCACACCATCATGCATCCACCCCCACCATCCATCTCCAGAACCTTCCATCTCCCCACAGGGAAACCGTGTCCCCAGGAAGCATTGCCTTCCCCACCCCTGGCTCCCACCATATCCTCTCTGTCTCAGCGGATGGGTCTCCCCTAGCAATCTCTTGGGAGTGGGGTCATGCAGGATTTGTGATTTGTGTCTGGCTTATTTCATTGAGGATAATGTCTTCAAGGTTCAGCCATGTTGTAGGATGTGTAGCAAGTAATTTTCTAGTATAGGTATGTCACAAATATTCCATGAGACAAACAGAACATACACTGAAAAGGTATTTGTTGTGTGTCTGCAATTCAGATTCAACGAGGCCTTTGAATTATCTGAAAATTCTACCTCACAGCCCTTCTCAGCCTGAGGAATCATTGTTAGACACAGCTTCGTTGATATGATTTACATACCTGAAATTTCACTTATTTTAAGGATACAATTCAATGAATTTCATTATATATTTGCAAAGTAGTAAAATCATTACCACAATCTAGAATTTTCCATCACTCCAAAAAGAAACCTCATACCCCTTTGTATGAAATTATAAATTTAACTCTGGATTCCTACCCCTAACTCACGGTAACTGCTTTTTGCTTTGAAAGATTTTGCCTTTTTTTGACATTCCATCAAATGGCATATGGTGTTGGGAGAATATGTGACCTTTTGTCTGGCTCGTTTCACTGAGTATAGTGTTTTTGAGACTCATCCAGGTTGCAGTGCGTGTGTGTCAGCGCTTCTTTTCTTTTTATTGCTGAACGGTGTTACTTGAAAGGATATGGCACATTTGGTTTATCCATTCACCTGTCGATGGATACTTGGGTCTTTCCACTTTTTGGCTGTGTGAATCATGCTGGAATGAGTTTTAGTGTACAAGTTTTTGTGGGGAGTGTGTGTTCATTTCTCTGGGGTAGATATCCAGGGATGAAATCAGTTGGTCATGTGGGTAAGTCTATGTTTAACTTAAAATATATATATATTTTTGAGATCTATTTCACATGCATAAGGATGTATCTTGAGGGCTCCCTGGGTGGCTCAGGGGTTTGGTGCCTGCCTTTGGCCCAGGGCATGATCCTGGAGTCCTGGGATCCAGTCCCATATCGGGCTCCCTGCATGGAGCCTGCGTCTCCCTCTGCCTATGTTTCTGCACCCCCCTCTCTGTGTCTCTCATGAATAAATAAATAAAATCTTAAAAAAAAAAAAGGATGTATCTTGAGGCCAAAGTATTATCTTTGTGCCCTGTGATCAGATCTCTCCAAAGTTTTCCCAAGAAGCTAAAAATCATAGTTTTTTTTTTTTTTTTTTTTTTTTTTTTTTTTTTTTATGATAGTCACAGAGAGAGAGAGAGGCAGAGACACAGGCAGAGGGAGAAGCAGGCTCCATGCACCGGGAGCCTGACATGGGATTCGATCCTGAGTCTCCAGGATCGCGCCCTGGGCCAAAGGCAGGCGCCAAACCACTGCGCCACCCAGGGATCCCAAGAAGCTAAAAATAAAAGCCAAACTTCTCACAAATGTCCACAACGCCCTGGGATAGGTCCTCTGTGGACCCCTATAGCCTTCCCTGCCTGCCCCACTCACTTGCTCCATCGTCTCTAGCTTAGAGGCTTGCATTTGCTATCCCCTCTGCCCTAAGTGCCCTCTCAGTATCCACTTTACTCTATTGGGCCAATCTTTATTTTTATTTAAGATTTTATTTAGTTATTCATGAGAGACACATACACAGAGAGGCAGAGACAGAAAGGGAAGCAGGCTCCATGCAGGAAGCCGGATGTGGGACTCGATCCCGGGACCGTGGGATCACTCCCGGAGCCAAACGCAGACACTCAACCGCTGAGCCGCCCAGGCATCCCTGGGGCAATCTTTTTTTTTTTTTTTTTTTATGATAGTCACACACACACACACACACACACACACACACACAGAGAGGCAGAGACACAGGCAGAGGCAGAAGCAGGCTCCATGCACCGGGAGCCTGACGTGCGATTCGATCCGGGGTCTCCAGGATCGCGCCCTGGGCCAAAGGCAGGCGCCAAACCGCTGCGCCATCCAGGGATCCCTGGGCCAATCTTTATTCACCCTGCATCTCCAGCAGAACTGCATCCTCCAGAAAGCGCTCTCTGGTCCCTCCCCCCACTACTCAGCATTTTAAGCGCTCTGCCTCTTACCTCGAGTACCTATCAAGGGTCCTCATTGCACAGAAATGAACGGGGCAGGCTGAAGGCATCTAGTGCTCCCGGCATTTCGGAGGGCTTTAGGGCTGATGAAGTCACTTTTACGCCCCTCCAAGATTGGTACCATTACCCATTTTGTAGGTGGGTAGACTAAGGAAGGCACAGGGGTTAAGGAACGTGGCCACGCGGCGCACAACACGTTTTTTCTAAAGGTCTTACTCATTTATTAGAGAGAGAAAGCACAAGTAGGGAGGAGAGGGGGAAGCAGAATCCCCGCTAAGCAGGGAGACCGATTGGGGGCTCGATCCCAGGACCCCAAGATTATGACCTGAGCCGAAGGCACTGACTTAACCAACTGAGTCACCCAGGCGCCCCCACATTTTTTTTTTTTTGAATGAACATGCATATCGAGCATCTTGCGGCCCTAGAACCGGTGCTCAAAACCCTTCCACGAGTCCAGCAGGGCATCCTCGCGTCGCTGGGAGGCTGTTTATCCCAAGAACGCCCCGCGCCCCGCCCCTCTGCGGGCCCCGCCCCGCGCCCCGCCCCGCCCCCGACCTCCGCCCCTCGGACCGGCAACGGCGCGTCCCTGTTTTGAGTTGAACCTCTGTCCCCTTACCCAATGGCGAAGAGTTGCTTAAGCCCCGCCTCCCGCGGTAGCCAATGGCCGCTCCCTACCTTGAGGCCTTCCCGAGGGGTAGCCAATGGTCTGCGGCTCTCTGTTGAGCCCCGGCTCCGCGGAGCGGGAGGCTTTCGGGGCCTCGCCCCCTGCGTGGATTAGGCCCCCTTCCAGTGGTAGCCAATGGCCGGCCTCCAGCTTAAAGGCCCTCCTTCTGCGGAGGTTCCTGGCCCGCCCCTCTGCCCCAAGCCCCGCCCCGGAGAAGCCTGGCGGCCCGCCTCAGCGCTCCCCGAAAGCCTCCGTTTCCCTCCTCCCACCTTTCCCCTTTCACCTCCCATAACCTCCGCCCCGCTCCCATTAGGCCTCTGGGTCACGCCCCTTGGCTCCACCCGTTACCCAATCCCGTTAACTTGCTCTGCTCCAACCCCTCTTCTCATTGGTCCTCGTGCTCCTCTATCCCCGCACGTGGTCCTGAGCGACGGCGTCTCCCGCCCGTGACGGCCGGAGGGCGGGACTTCCGGAGACGCCCAGTCCAATAAGCACCCGCCGGCCCTCTGCCCAGGCGGCCGCCCCCCGCCCCCTCGGCGCCCCGCTCCCGCCCCCGGCTTCGCCTCCCGCTGCCGCCGCCGCAGCCGCTGCCGCCGCCGCCGCTGCCGCCGCCGCCGCCGCCGCTTCCTGCGGCCTGGGCCTCCCGCCGCCAGCATGCCGCATGCCTTCAAACCCGGGGACTTGGTGTTCGCCAAGATGAAGGGCTACCCGCACTGGCCGGCCCGGGTGAGGCCGCGCGGGAGATGGGCCAGGCAGGGGGGGTGGGGCAGTAGGGGCGCCGGGCGTGAGGGACCCGCGCAGCTGGGGTCCGGGGGGGCCCCCGGGCTTGAGGGACCCGCGCAACGGGGTCTGGGGGCCTCCGGGCCTGGGGGAGCCCGCGCCGGGCGTCTGGGGGTCCCCGTGCCTGAGGGAATCTGCGCCGGGGGTCTGGGCGTCCCGGGGCCTGAAGGAAGCCGCGCCGAGGTGGGGGTGGGGGGTCTCGGGGCCTGAGGGACCCGCGCTGGGGTGGGGGGAGTCCCGGCGCCTGTGGGGACCCGCGCCGGGGTGGGGGGTCTCCGGGCCTGAGGGACCCGCGCCGGGGTGGGGGGTCTCGGGGCCTGTGGGGAGCCGCGACGGGGTGGGGGGAGGCCCGGCGCCTGTGGGACCCGCGCCGGGGTGGGGGGTCCCGGGGCCTGAGGGACCCGCGCCGGGGTGGGGGGAGGCCCGGCGCCTGTGGGGGCCCGCGCCGGGGTGGGGGGGGACTGAGGGGCCCGCGCCGGGGTGGGGGGGTCTCGGGGCCTGAGGGACCCGCGCCGGGGTGGGGGGTGGGGGTCCCGGCGCCTGTGGGGACCCGCGCGGGGGAGGGGGACTGAGGGGCCCGCGCCGGGGTGGGGGGGTCCCGGGGCCTGAGGGAAACTGTGCCGGGGTGGGGGGGTCCCAGGGTCTGAGGGAAACTGCGCCGGGATGGGAGGGTCCTGGGGCCTGAGGGAAACCGCGCTGGGGGTCTGGGGTTCTAGGGGCCCCCGTGCCAGAGGAAGCCCGTGGGGGGAGTTTGGGGGTCCTGGAGCCTGAGGGAGCCTGCCCCCGGGATGTGGGGGCCGTGGGGAGGCCCAGAGCCAAGGGAGGTGGGGCTTGAGGGACCTGGGGCCTGAGGGGGCAGGGTTCGAGTTTGAAAGAGTGGATGGTGTGAGGGGAGCTGAGGAACATGGGGGGTTTAAGCAGAGGAATCGCGCTGAGGGGAGGGGCGTGCCTCAGGCTGAGGACCTGGTTGGGAGCCGGCTAGGGACCAGGGCTGCAGTAAGGGAGAAGGGTTGAGGGTGGAGCCTGTGGGCCCTTCTAGGCCAGGGCCAGAAATGAGGCTGGGGGCTGTGTTCACGAGGTCACTGGGGCTGAGAGGACTCCTCTGATAATGTGCGCTGCCAGGGACCAGAGCTTGGAGCAAGCCTCGCTTGCGGGACCCAGGGGGCTGGTGCCCTGTGAGGAGCTCCTCTCTGCTCCTGGGGTGGAGGAGGCTGGCTGGGGTGGAGTTGAGGGAGATCTTGGTGGTCCTCCATGATACTTGAATCAGATACCTTTTTGGGCTCAAACCCAAAGAGATCATCTGAGGGAAGAGGTTGAGTCCAGGGGACTTTGGGGATTCCATGTAGGAGTTGACATCCAGGGGACCCAGAAGGTCTGACGGGCGCAGGTCTGAAGGCGGCGCAGGTCTGAAGGGCGTCCTGAGCCTGGAATTCCCACAGTGGAAATTCAGGCACTATCCAGGGCAGGCTGATGTGGAGGAGGGACCTGGAGGTTGTCATCCCCAGGCCATAGGGATAAAGTCACCCCAGAACCTAGGTTGGTGGAATATGCATGATAGGACTGAAGGAATTTGGGGGTGGGGGGTGGGAGGCCCAGGCAGCAGCAGGGGGCATGGGAAGGGTGAGGCTGGAACTGAAGGAGCACAGCTCCAGGCTGTGTTATGAGACCATTGGAGGTTTCAGCCTCGCTCCCTCTGGGTGGGAGTAAGCAGAAGGGCGTCAGGCAGAGTTGGGGGTCTGGGTCCAGAGAGGCTGCCACGGGCCAGGAAGGGGCCCAGGGATACTGACCAGATGTCCTGAGAACAGTTGGAGCTGGTGCCACCGCTAGGATGGCCAAGCCTCAGGCTCAGAGGCAGGTCCTTGGTGAGCCCAGAGCACAAGCCTGGCCTGGAGGGTGTGGCAGGCTAGTGCTCAGGGTGATGAAGTTTGGAGAAGCTTCTGTGCAGGAGTGGGGTGCTTGAGATGGATGGCGGAGGCCCAGGGATCAAGGACTTTGAAAAGTAGCCCAGAGAACTGAGGAAAGAAGTTGGGTGAGGGGGGAAGGTTCCAGCAGCCCCCAGGCCTCGAAGAGGATGGGAAAGAATTAATGGGGACCAGAAAACTCACTTTAACCTGATTTGCTTGGGCTTATTTTCTTGGGGGACACTAGAGCCATGAAACTTTATAGGCACTTCCCTTCCTCCCAGAGTACCAGCTTCTCCCTCTCCTCTGTGCCCCTCCTGCCAGCTCTCTAAGCCCGGAACATTTCCAAGCACCTGATTGGAAGTGAAGGGGCTGCTAGCCTCCTGTGGGGAGGTGACTGACAGCTGCCGGGGCCCATGGGCCTGTAGGGAGAGGGTGGGACTTCCTGGATGCTCAGGGCCTGTCTCCTGCAGCCCACCCCCCACCCTCTGCATCCTTGGAGCTGCCAGCTGCAGCTTCTGGGATACCCACCGATCGCCTCTTTGCGGGAGGGGTTCTGTGGGAGGGCCCTGGGAGTGTTTAGAAGCTGGGCTTGGCCCCACCTCCTGGCTGCTCAGGGGACCATATTTGGCTTTGCTCAGGTGAAGCACCTACCCTGGAGGCGGAGAACACTCTGGGGGGAGGGGACAGGTATGCACCGAGGGGGGTTTTCTAGAGAATGCAGATGCCTAACTGGAAGGTGATGTGTCCCCCTCAGTTGAAGGCTTCCTTCCTCTCAGCATGCTTTCCCCAAGTAACTTAGCTGATTTCTTGATTTCCTGGGCCAGTGGGTGAAGCTGTCCCCCAGCCACCTCCTGACCTGCCTCTCACTACAGATCGATGACATCGCCGACGGTGCTGTGAAGCCCCCCCCTAACAAGTACCCCATCTTCTTCTTTGGTACACACGAAACGTAAGTGTCCCCAGGTGGGGCTTGATTTTCCCACCTGGTGCCTCCTGGGTGACCTGACTCACCTGGGACTGGCCCCATGGTGCCTTTCTCCAGAGCCTTCCTGGGACCCAAGGACCTGTTTCCTTACGACAAATGTAAAGATAAGTACGGGAAACCCAACAAGAGGAAAGGCTTCAATGAGGGACTGTGGGAGATCCAGAACAATCCCCACGCCAGCTACAGTGCTCCTCTGGTGAGTACCTGGGGATGGGGGACGGCTGGTGTGGCATCTGCCAAGTCCAAGTCATGCCAGGCACTTGTGCACCCTGGGCACCATAGGTGGTCTTAGCTTGCCTCATAGGAAAGGAGCAAGGGCTCATCCTCCCTTGGCACTACTGACCATCAGCCATCGTTCTCTGTCAGGGTATCCTGGGACGTCCCAGGCACTGTAGGGTGAGTAGCATCCCTGGCATTCCCCACTCCATGCCAGTAGCATCTCCCTTTCCCCCAAGTCGTGACACTCAAACACGATGTTGCCAGAGTGCCCCTGGGTGGGGTGGAGGACTGGAGGGCCGGCTCTGGTGAAACCCATTGCTCTATAGTAAACTTGGATTTATAATAGTGTTATTATCGCTCTTAAGAAACCTTTTGTTTTCTCAGGGAACTAATTTGTTTTTTTTCAATAGCAGCCCTCTCTTTCCCTGTGAGATTTTAGGCTTGGGAGAAGGCTGTAGTTAATAGATGTAAGAGTTCTTGCTTAGGTGGGAAGAAAGTGCCAAGAACCACAGAAATGGCATCGCAGTGGTAGATCAGTGTCCAGAAATGTTCAGGGAAAGAAGGAATTGAGAAAAGTTGAAGTGAAATTCATGGAAAGCCTTGGAAGGCTGCAGAAGGGTTGCAGAGAGCTACCTCATTCTGGGCAATTTGGTTTGAGGTGCAGATGAGGGGAGGCTGGGCTGGGGTTCTCTGTTCTGCTTTTAGCCACTGTTTTGTTTTGTTTTTTTGTTTTTTTTCTGCAGGAGGCACAGGGATGCAGAGTAGTCTGGCTTCAGGCAGGGTGGGTGTCAGCTTGGCTGGGAGGCCAAGCAAACAGTCTGCAGGGGGGCAGACGGCAGGGGGCAGAGCATCCTTCCTGGGGAAGGAAAGGGTCCGCTGTCTAGTCCTTGGGGAGGGACACAGGAGGCAGAAAGGGTCTGGTGTGTGTGTGAGCGGAAACCAAGGAGCTCTCTAGTGTCTTATCCTGCATGAGAACTTGGGGTCTCCAGCCTGTGCCTCTCCTGCGGCTCAGCCACCACTGTCCCAGTAGGTGCTGCTGTATTGAGGGATCAGCAGTCCAAGGGGAGGCAGGCCCACTTCTTACCCCCTGGGAGCTCACAGTCCAGAATTCCGGGTTTGTTTACCCTGTCTTTTGAGTGTTGAGAGTTTGGCACCCCCTTATCAGGGCCAGGCTCATGTTTAGTGGATGTTAGTGATGTTCTACTTTTAACTCTTTGGGTGGGTCTAGGGGAAGGAGGTTCCCCCTTTGGTGCCTGCTGCGCCTCCCGGCTTCGTGGGTGAATGGGTCAGAAGGTCTTCAAGTGAGTTGGGTTCTGTGATCCTTTTCTGGCCCCGGCTCAAGTACTGTTGGTTATGTCCTAACCTTATTGCTGCTGGTGAATCATCACACCATTTAATATTTATTACACGCCCACGGCTTACTAAGTGCTGTGTAGATGCCTGCCCTCGAGGAAATAAACTAAAAAATGGTTCAACCTTGACTTTAAACTGGCCCCACACAGACTCCCCGGGTTGAGAAGTAGCTGTTTAGTGTGAGAGCTTGTCTTGCTGTTGGCTGTCTGAGGAGCCTATGGTGCCAAATAGAACGTCTATTTAAGATGCAGATTTGTGGGGCACCTGGTGGCTCAGTAGGTTAAGCATCTGCCTTCAGTTTGGGTCATGATCCCTGAGTCCTGGGATCAAGTCCGGAGTCGGGCTCCCTGCTCCTTCTGCCTCTTGCCCCTCCCCTGCTTGTGTACCCTTGCATGCGCTCTTTCTGTCTGTCTCTCTCTCTCTCAAATCAATCAATCAATCAATCAGTCTTTTAAAAAAAAAAAAATAGATGCAGATTTGTGGGCCCTGCCTGTGGAAACTTTGGTTTCAGGGATCAGGCCTGGGACCCCTGATGTGTTCCATAACCATGCATCAGCCTAAGTGTTTCTTTCTTTTTTTTTTTTTTTTAATTTTTTTATTTATTTATGATAGTCACACACAGAGAGAGAGAGAGGCAGAGACACAGGCAGAGGGAGAAGCAGGCTCCATGCACCGGGAGCCCGACGTGGGACTCGATCCCGGGTCTCCTGGATCGCGCCCTGGGCCAAAGGCAGGCACTAAACCCCTGCGCCACCCAGGGATCCCCAGCCTAAGTGTTTCTAACAGAGAGCCAGGTCGCAGGTACTTGTGGAAGAGACACTCTCCAGGTGCCTGAACAGTCTCTTTGTTCAGCCTTCAAGTTCCTCAATTATCTTTCCATCTGAATGGGAACACAAATTCTCGGTTCAAAATTGAAAAGATACAAAGGTGCATAAGAATAGTGAGAAGTCAGCCCTGCCTCCTGGTCACTCTGGTGTGATGTCCTGTCAAGATAGCCACTGCTCTTCATTTCTTGTATATCCTCCAAGGTTCTGTATTCATATCACACTCTCCACAGCTTTCCTTTCTAAAGTATAGAATTCTTTTTGTTGTTGTTAAGATTTTATTTATTTGAGAGAGATAACAAGAGAGAGCACAAGGAAGGGGGATGGGGAGGGAGAAGCTTCCCACTGAGCAGGAAGGCCCAGTGTGGGTCCCAAGACCCTGGGGCCATGACCTTAGCCAAAGGCAGATGCTTAACCAACTGAGCCACCCAGGTGCCCCTAAAGCATAGAATTCTTAACTTTATTGTTCTCCAAAATTTATCTTTCTTTGTAAGTTATTTATTTTTAATAATCTCTATACCTATCATGGGGCTTAAACTCATGACCCCGAGTTAAGAGTTGTTTGGTCCATCGACCAAGCTGTCCAGGCACCCCCAAAATATATGTCAATTATTGGTCTACACGCAGAGAACAGCCTCATTCTTTCCGACAACCTTAACTGAGTTCTCCCCTAAGAGAGGATGGCAAACCCGGTTCCCACATCTCCTTGCCAAGGCGATGGAAGTGGTATCTGAGTGTGGTTTCAATGTCCACACAGTAATCCTGAGAGTGGCCTTTTCCATTTTCCAGATAAGCAAACTGGCCCAGAGTGACCCGGCTAGAATCTGAGACCTCTTAGACTTAGACCAGGGTTTTTCAATATTTGTGGCTGGATTGTTCTCAGGCAGAAGTGGGGAGGGGCCTCCTTGGGCACTGTAGGGTGTTTAGCAGCATCATTGGCCCTCACCCACTTGATGCTAAGAGCACCCCAGTTTTGGCAGCCCCATATGTCCCCAGGAATTGCCAAATGCCTCCAAGAGAACAAAAGTCATTTCTGGTTGAGAAACATTCTGGGTGGCTCAGTGGTTGAGCATCTGCCTTTTTGGCTCAGATTGTGATCCCAGGGTCCTGGGATCGAATGCCATATTAGGTGCCCCACGGGGTGCCTGCTTCTCCCTCTGCCTATACCTCTCTCTGTTTCTCTCATGAATAAATAAATAATATCTTTAAAAAAAAAAAAAGAACCATTGACTTAGGAGGAGTGTAGAAATGGATGCTTGTCCCTTGATAGAGGAAGAGGGACAGATACCTGCCTGTTCACGGTTCTCAAGCTGGTGAGAGTAAGCTGCAGCTAAAGCTCAGGCCTCCCATGTCCCAGGCTGGAGGAGGGCCCAGAGAATAACCTCTGCACTGTGGGTCTGGGGTTAAGGGCCCTGCTGTGTGAGCTCAGGGACCTGTGTTCAAGTCCTGGCTCTAGCACTTGCTTACCATGAGCCTAGAGGGTCCACCTCACCTCTTTGAGCCTCAGTCTCCTCATCTAAGACAGAGGGTCATGGTGGTGTCAGCATCTCACAGGGTTGCTGGGGGAGCCCCATGAGCAAACACGCATCAGGCACCCAACACAGGAACACAGTGCTGAGCAGGTGATGAGGTGCTAGTTGGGAGTGAGGCCAGGCTGAACATGTCCTTCCCTTTCCACCTGTCACCTTCCTGAGCCATTAAGGCAGTGAGAGAAATGAATGCTCACCTCATTCACCTGACCATTGGGTTGGGAATGCTTGGAGGTTGGCTGGCTCTTGGTGTTTGTCTCCTGGTTCCTCTCTGTACCCCATGCTTCTCTGTGTGGATCAGATTTCTCAAAACCTTTGCCAGCAGGTAGATCCCGTGGGCTGACCCCAGGAGATCCAGAGTTCCTGGCTTTAGCTACAGGCACAATGTAGGGCTGGTCACTTACCTTCCAGAGTCCGTTTTTCAAGTTGTGGGACAGGCCTGTTGGCCCAAGGCACCTGGCCAGATATGAGAGGCACAAATTGGACCCCAGTTGGCTAGGAGTTTGGCAGAAGCAAGGAGGGGTTTTAATTAGCAGTAGCTGCATCTGGTGGCCTGGGCTTAGAGGCCAAGGCAGACCTGGCTGGCATCCCGCCTCTGTCACGTACTTGCTATGAACTTTCTTGCCACCTTTCCCTCATCTGCAAACTGAGGGTGACAATTCATACCCAGTACACACAGAGAGATAGTAAGCTTGGGGCAGGGGCTCACACTGAACTAACACCAGCTCTTACTGCCACGAAACTGACCTTTCTGCAGAAGAGCCTTGGGCCTCGGTCACTTAGCTTCCAAGCTGCTCTGCCACCCCTGCTGTGGAAGACAGGGGTCACATCTCCCTTCCTCCTGCCTGGGCTGTCATGAAGAGAAACCGTGCCCTGGCGGGAGGTGTGATGGAAGTCCACCGAGAAAGTAGGATTATCCTCTCCCAGCGTTTTAGGTTTGGGGTCTGACCTACACAGTATTACACTCTTCTGTTTTAATTTTGTTATACAGATCAGGCCCTGTCATCATGCCACAGGGAAGACAAAAGGTGCTCAATGCCAAGTGCGAGGTCTGGCCAACACCTGGCCTTTATTTTTCTCACCTGTTGACCCAACCATGTAAAGGCTGAGTAGGCTTATATCCCCTCAGTCAGGGAAGGACTGGGGCTTCCTACAAGAGATCATGGACAGGCTGGGTTCCCTCCCTCCCATTACCTCTGGCCGCCCCCACCCTGGCACCCACGTTTCCAGTCTTCTAATGCATTTCCACGTTATGTGCCTTGCCTTGTCCTCTGTCCAGCACTGGCAGGTTCCCTTCCTTCCTGGGCTCCTAGCGGCTCATGCTTCTGCTTCTCTTGCTTCTTGGTCCCGGTCTTGCCACATGCATCCCGTTGGTGTGGCTATGGTGGATCTCACACGTGTTCTTGTTCCCTTCTTGGCCTCCCTGCTTTTTTCTTTTTTCTTGGCCAGCATGCATGCCCCACTCTGACCCATTGATCCCTGGCAGTGATTACACCAAGGGAATGTGACTTGTTGCTGAATTAGGGAAATTCACTATTTTAACCATTTTAAGCAAATACTGCAGTGCTCTTATACATTTATAGTGTTGTGCGATCATCCTTGCTATCTAATTCAGAACATTCCACCACCCCACAAGGAAGCCCCCTCCCCATTATCTGTCATCCCCATTTCTCCCCTTCTCTTATCCCCTCAGAACTTTTTTAAGTAGGCTCCATGCTGATGTGGGGCTTGAACTCATGACCCTAATACCAAGAGTGGCATACTCTACTGACTGAGCTGGCCTGATGCCCTAGCCCTAAGAACTGATCACATTCTGTGAATTTGCACATTCCACATATTTCCTATAAATGGACTCATATTTGGTCCTTTGCTCCTGGCTTCTTTCACTGAGCATGTTCTGGAGGTTCATCTGTGCTGTGGCCTGTATCAGAGCTTCATTCCTTTCTATGGCTGATTAGTGTTCGATCCTATAGCCGTCCCATGTTGTGTTTTTCTATCCGTAGGGGGACATTTGGGTCATTTGCAGAGAATGTAGCTCTAAAAAATATCAATTTCTTTCATTAAAAAAAGAGAGAGAGAGAGAGAAATCAGTTATACAGAAATACCATGAAATAACATCAGATTTTGCATTCAGGCTTGGCTGCAGTGGATGCCCCAAGACGTTGCAGCACCTCCTCGTGCCATGTTATAGCTGTGCATTTCCTTTTTTTTATTATTATTTTTATATTTATTTATTTGCTGTGCATTTTTTTAAAAGATTTTATTTATTTATTTTATGAGAGACACAGAGAGAAGCAGAGACACAGGCAGAGGGAGAAGCAGGCTCCACGCAGGGAGCCCAATGTGGGACTCGATCCTGGACCCTGGGATCACGCCCTGGGCCAAAGGCTGATGCTCAACCACTGAGCCACCCAGGCGCCCCCGCTGTGCATTTCCTAATCAGTCTCCCCATTAGCCCATGAGCTCCCCCGAGGGCAGGGGTGTAGTCTGGCTCATGTCTAGGCCAGGCCTTCAGCACAGGGCCATATACATTCAGTGTTCTGTGGCATGCTCTGGACGAAGGAGTGATGATGAAATATGACCGGGGCTCGTCCGTTTTCCTCCCATGAACATCAGACATCCCAAACAAGTTCAGAAACTGGCCTGAGCAAGCCCTAGGGTCTGGCCGTCATTGTGCCATCTACCAGGTGCCCTAGATCCTCCATAACCCTGCATAAGCCCCAGCTCAGCCCGCCAACTTTTCTTCTGCCTACCCGCACAGTCCCGGGCAGCCCTGGTGGCTCAGCGGTTTAGCGCCACCTTCAGCCCAAGGCGTGATCCTGAGGACAGGGGATCGAGTCCCACGTCGGGCTCCCTGCATGGAGCCGGCTTCTCCCTCTGCCTGTGTCTCTGCCTCTCTCTCTCTCTCTTCTCCTCTCTGTGTATTCTCATTAATAAATAAATAAAATATTTTTTAAAAAAAGAAAAGAAATCGCAGTCCCTGGCAGGTCAAGCCTGGAGGTCCTGTGTTCATAATGATGAAAGTATTAGTAATAGAAAAAGCAAACTCTGGGATGGACCTCTGGCCAGTCTGGGTGGGCACTGTCCTTGGTATGTCACATACCACTACTGCCTTATCTTGGCCACGGCCCTGTGAAGCCAAAATGGTGTCATCCCCATTGCTCAGATTGGGAACTGAGGCACCAAGAGGCTGTCACTGGCCTGGGATTTGACCTGTAATCCTAGCACCTACCACACTTGTCCATCTTGCCCTCCAGCCTTAGTTCTCTGGACTTTCTGGGCCTTGGAAAGTGAGGAGACCAGACCCTGACGTTTGAGACCCTGTTGTGGGTTTAGCCCTCTGGGTCACTGTTCTGGTTGGGAAATCCACCCCAGCCTGGTGGTGACTCATAGTCTGTGCTGCCCCCCGCCCCACCCCCAGCCGGTGAGTTCCTCTGACAGTGAGGCCCCTGAAGCTGACCCGGCAGGTGGGAGCGAGGACGACGAGGTCCGGGGAGTCATGGCCGTCACAGCTGTGACTGCCACAGCGGCCAGCGACAGGATGGAGAGTGACTCAGACTCAGACAAAAGCAGCGACAACAGTGGCCTGAAGCGGAAGGCAGCAGCCCTGAAGGTAGGGGCGGCCCCTGGGGGTGGGTAGGGGGTGGGGCGCGGCTTGGGCCCTTCCATCTCCCCCAACTCCCACCCTAAGCCTCTGGCAGCCTGCACTCCCCACCCTGCCTTTCTTGTTTTTGATATGCAGTTTCATTCCGATTTACTTTATTATTTATTTTTATTTATTATTCTTTTACATGTGTCAACTTATTAATCTTTATAATATTGCTCAGTAGACATTACCATTTCCACTTTGTAGATTATCATCTCGGGAAGGGCTGTGTGCTTAGCGCAGCTCTCTGGTGTGCAGTTGAAATGCTTTCCTGTATTAACCCGACCTTTTACTCAACACTAGCCAGACTGAACAGATACTGGCAAAACTAGAATGCATGTGCTTGCTCTTGGCTTTTCCCTCCCAGGAGACTCCTAGTTGAAATTATCCCCTTAGTCTGAATATGCAAATAATTTTTCTGCATGTTTTAACATACCTTTTTTTTTTTAACACGCTTTTTAAAAATCGAGATATCATTCACATGCCACAGCATTACCCTTTCAAGATACACAATTCAGTGGTTGTTAGTACATTCACAGAGCTGTGTAACCACCACTGGCTAGTTCCAGAACATTCTGTCACTCCAGAAGAAACCCTGTCCCTATCAACCATCACTCCCCACCCCTTCCCCAGCCCCCGTCCCCCTCAACCCCCCTTCCCATCCATGGATGAGCCCGTTCTGGATGTGTCACACATGTGGACTCACACACCATGTGGCCTTCTGTGTCTGGTACCCTCCCTGAGCATCATGGAGTCAGGGTCTGTCCCTGGGGCGGCGCTTATGGGCATCTTGCTCCTGTTCATGGCCAGTCACGTTTCCAGGTGTATGGTGGGTACATTGTATCTGTTCATCAGTTGATGGACATATGGGTTGTGTCTCCTTTGCTATGAACATATCGCTGAGTATGTGTGTGTGTAGGTCTGTGGGGATGTGAGTGTTTGGTTCTCCTGGAAGGAGCCTCTTTCTTGCCTTGTCTTGTCTGCCTTTTGCCTGCTTCTAATCATTCAGTTATAGAACGGACTAGGATCTAGCATCAACTTCTTTGGCAGAGTAATACTTTCCTCTTATTATTTACAAACATAACATTTGCTCTTGGTTCCAATTGTAATGATAAACCATGCTCATTATAAGTTGTAAGATGTAAAAAGTGTGGAGAAGCTAGTAGAAAATGCCCATGTTACGTGGGGCCTTCCATGCCGAGGACCACAAGCACCCAGATGTATTTCTTCGCAATCCCACATGTACTTCACACAGGGTATGGCTGCATAAAGCCCAGAATTGGTGATCGTACACACCCAGTGTGTTTTGCTGAGCATTTCTTTGTCGTTAAATATTAAGTCGTGGCCTTCAGCAGTTGAGACATAGTTTGTGACGTGGGTGATTTCTAACCAATTTATTATTAAGACTCTTGGCTTTTTCCCCAGTTTTTATGATATAGTTGGCATCATTTTTTAAAGTTCCCTGTGATTTCTGTTTACAGTTGCTGGGGATGTTAAACAGGAGGGTGTAGGAAACAGCCCCCCCATGCCACCCCTTAGAGGTAAACCCCTATTTGTAAGTCAGTACTTACTTAGATTTTTTTTGACCAACTTTGCATTAAACTGATCTGAGGTTTTGGGTTGAGGTTTTTGTTTTGTTTTGTTTTGTTTTTTTAAGATTTTATTTATTCATGGGAGACAGAGAGGCTGAGACATTAGGCAGAGGGAGAAGCAGGCTCCCCACAGGGAGCCCGACCCGGACAAGATCCCAGGACCCTGGGATCACGACCTGAGCCGAAGGCAGGCACCAGATGTCCCAAACTGATCTAAGTTCTTGTTACAACACCTTTTAACCACACCAGGGAACATTTAAGAGACCTTTTCCCTGCCTTTTCCTGCTAGCCTCATGGCACTAGCACATCCACAGCTCTCCTTTCCCTGATCCACGAGGGGCGGTGGTTTTCCTGTGGGGCCGACTTTCTATGTTCTCTCTTTGGTTAGCATTAACTTGGTGTTTTCCTGTGGATCCACGTTCTGCTCTTCTCATCTATCCTCTGGATGACTCTTAAGACTTCCTTCATGGGGCAGCCCCAGTGGCGCAGCGGTTTAGCGCCGCCTGCAGCCCAGGGCGTGATCCTGGAGACCCTGGATCGAGTCCCACATCAGGCTCTCTGCATGGAGCCTGCTTCTCCCTCTGCCTGTGTCTCTGCTTCTCTCTCTGTGTGTCTCTATGAATAAATAAAATCTAAAACAAACAAACAAACAAAAACTTCCTTCATGAGGACTGTATGGCAGGCCCTGACCCCAGCCCCAAGCGCCCTGGTAGCTCAGCATTGCCTGCCCCCCACCCCTGGATCTGTTCTCTAGGGTTTCAAGATCTCGCTGCTCGGGGCCCCTCCCCACTGCCTCCCCTTGTACCCTGGTGTGTGGATATCGGGAGAGAGGGTCCTGGGTCATCTTAGTCCTCATGATTCCTGCCTTTTTGTCCTAACTGGAGTCCCTGAGTGCCTGGGTTAGAGTGCTAGTGGGCTAAGAAGAGAAAGATGCAGTGCTCCTAGGCCATAGACTGCCTCTGCCCCGAGAGGGAGTGGGGAGTGTGAAGTTCAGTGAGCTTTGGCTCACCTACCTGTGAAGTAGCTCCAGGCTCCAGACACAGCCCACACAGCCCTGCAGGTCTGGCCCCAGCCAGGCCCCATCCCCATCCCTTCCCTGACCAATCACCAGCCTTGCTGCCTTCTACCCATGGGGCTTCATACATGCTATCTCTTCCATTCTTCCATCTGTCCCTCTTTCTCTCTGGCCTCCAGAGTAACCTTAGATTCCCATGGAATGTTCCAGTTTGCCTCTCCTGACTAGAATATAAACTGTACGACGGTAGGCCCTTTAATCTCCCATTGGTGTGTCAGAGTGTACAGGTGTGCCAACTGGCCTAGGAAGGTCGTATGGACTAGACAGCTTTCACACCAAAAATTAGCCTTGCAGGCTGAAGTCTGAGATCAGGTGTCAGGAGGGCTGGTTCCTTCTGAGGCCTCTCCTCAGCGTGCAGACAGCAGCCTCCCATCCTCATGTGATTGGCCCTTCTGTGTCTCTGTCCTGACCTCCTCCTATAAGGAAATAGGTCTTACTGAATTAGGACCACTCCACTGACATCATCTTTTATTTATTTTTAAATATTTTTTAAAATTTATTTGAGAGAGATATTACAGAGGGAGAGGGAGAAGCAGACTCGCTGCTGAGCAGGGAGCCCAATGTGGGGCTCAATCCCAGGAGCCTGAGATCATGACCTGAGCTGAAGGCAGATATCTACCAACTGAGCCACCCAGCTGCCCCCAGTGACACTATTTTAATTTAATTACATCCTTAAAGATCACTGTACCCAAATACTGTACCCTTCTGAGCTCCTGAGGGTCAGGGATTCAACATAGGAATTTTAGGGGGACAGGGCCTGGAGTAGAGGAGATGCTCAGGTGGCTATTGTTACGAGAACTAACGTGTCTCGGGTGTGACACAACAGAGGGAAAGTGTTGAGTAACTCAACAGTTGCCCGCTAGGAAGACCCAGGTCATCCCTGGCCAAGATTTCTAAAGCTTGGTTTGTTCTTCATGAAAGTTCTCCTGTCAGCCTCTTTCGGTGGATGTCAGGGAATGCATGAAGCCCTGAAACTGAATCCAGGCTATATGCACGTATGTGTGTATATGTGTGTTTTTAATTTTTTATTGAGGTGAAATTCCCATTAAAAAGTAGCCATTCGGCCAGCCCCGGTGGCACAGCGGTTTGGCGCCACCTGCAGCCCGAGGTGTGATCCTGGAGACCTGGAATCGAGTCCCAAGTCGGGCTCCCTGCATGGAGCCTGCTTCTCCCTCTGCCTGTGTCTCTACCTCTCTCTGTGTGTCTCCCCTGAATAAATAAATAAATAAAATCTTTAAAAAAAAAAAAAGTAGCCATTCTATGGTGTGCAGCTCAGTGGTGAACGGTCTCTTCCCAGCCTTTGTGCAGCTGCCTCCTCTGTCTAGTTCCAGATCGTATGCATAGGTGTTCTTCTGGGGAAAGGATATCTGGGGCAGGTTTCTTCCTTTTTTTTTATTGAAGTAAAGTACACATAATATAAAATTTGACAGTTTAAGTACACAACTCTGTGGCATGAAGCACACTCACACCGCTGTGAAGCCACTGCCATCACTGTCTCTAGAAATTTCCATCTTCCCACACGGAGACCCTGTCCCCAGGAAGCACTGACTCCCCAACCCTTGCCCCACCCCTGGCTCCCACCATCTCCTCTCTGTCTCTGGGGACTTCTGGGGAGTGGGGTCATGTAGGAGGTGTCCTTCTAGGTCTGACTCCCCTCTCTGAGCACGATGTCCTCATGATTCAAGAACCCTTTTTTTTTTTTTTTTAGAGAAAGGCAGAGACACAGGCAGAAAGAGAAGCAGCCCCCCCCCCCACGAGGAGTCTAATGTGGGACTCAATCCCAGGACCCCAGGATCACAACCTAAGCCAGAGGCAGATGCCCAACCACTGAGCCACCCAGGCATCCCAAGATCCCTGTTTTTTAATCAGATCCTCAAAACAGTCCCTGCCTCCTCCCAGAGGTTCCAGAACTTCAGCTCTTCTCCAGGGTGCAAGTGGCCAGGCAGGAGACAGCTCAGCAAAACACACAGGCTTTCTGATGGCTGATCTGTTTGGGCTGCTTGCCTTCTAGATGTCAGTCTCAAAACGAACTCGAAAGGCTTCCAGTGACCTGGATCAAGCCAGTGTGTCCCCTTCTGAGGAGGAGAACTCAGAAAGCTCATCTGAGTCAGAGAAGACCAGTGACCAGGTGAGCAGGTGGCTGGCTTTGTGGGCGGGCAGACATGCACACATGGGAGCTGAGCAGTGGCCAGCCAGAGGGACCCATGCTCAGGCCCCTTCTCTCTACCCAGGACTTCACCCCCGAGAAGAAAGCTGTGGTCCGGGCACCTCGGCGGGGCCCCCTTGCAGGACGGAAGAAAAAGGTAGAGGTGTTTTGTTCCCATTGCTTATCTCTAGGAAACCCTGAGAGATCTCCATGGTCACCAGGCACTGTCCATGGTTACAGTCAGTCTTTTTTGGAGGAGGGTAGAGAACAGGCCATAGTGCCCTTGGGACCACCATCTTCCACCTCTGGCTCCACTGATGGCCTCACCCATAGTTTCTGAGTTAGGTGTGTGCAGAGCACTTTTCTGGAGCCGAGGAGCGCCAGGCCACTACTGCTCCCGAGAGGAACATAGAGACCGGTTTGGGAACCGGGATACTAGAACCTTGGCTCTGGAAGGAAGTAGCAAGGTGCTCATAGGGGCCCCACGTGAGAGATGGAGAGTGTGTGTGTGTGGAAGAGAATGCAAGCCTGTCACGTATATGTGTATGCACAGATGATGTGAGCAGTGTGTGCATGTGTCCCAGTATGTATGTTACATGCATGTGTGCACAAGTGAGTATGTACCATGAGTGGGGGGGGGATAGGAGGTGGGCAGAGATAGCAGGAGGAGGGGAGCTCATCTAATTGGGCCTCCAGGCCAAATTTTGTGTTAGAAAGAGTTTTAACCACTGGAAACAACAGTGGCTCTCTCTGCCTCCCCCTTTTCACCAAGGAGAGGGTAAGGCCTGGGGGCATCACCCACCATGACTGAGCTGAATGATCAGGTGGCTGCAGGCACATCTGGGGCTGCCTGTGATTCCTGGCCAACATGAAGTGTTTCTAGATGGAGGAAGGCAGAGGTTTGTAGGTCAGGGGCTGCAAGGGACTGGCACTGTCCTTGGCCTGTGTTCTGCTGACCATGCCCTGGCCCCTCTTAGAAGGCACCTTCGGCCTCCGACTCCGACTCCAAAGCAGAATCCGATGGAGCAAAGGTCGAGCCAGTGGCTGTGGCCAGGTCAGCGCCGTCCTCCTCCTCCTCCTCCTCCTCTTCCTCCTCTTCCGACTCGGATGTGTCTGTAAAGAAACCTCCTCGGGGCAGGAAGCCAGGTAGGGTCCCGGCGGGGTGCCCCCTCACCTCTGACTGCCTAGGGGGCCACCCTGAGGAAGAGAACCTGGGTAGACAAAGCCATACTCTCCTTTGCTGTAGCGGAGAAGCCACCTCCAAAACCACGTGGGCGGAAGCCAAAGCCTGAGCGGCCCCCAACTAGCTCAAGTAGTGACAGGTGGGTGAGCAGCAACAGGTGGGTGATGGGCTAGGGTTATGTGGGTGGGCCTGGCACCTTGGTCCTCTAACTAGCATGCACCCCCAGTGACAGCGATGAGGTCGACCGCATCAGTGAGTGGAAGCGCCGGGATGAGGAGAGGCGGCGTGAGCTAGAAGCCAGGCGGCGCAGGGAGCAGGAGGAGGAGCTGCGAAGGCTCCGCGAACAGGAAAAGGAAGAAAAGGAGCGGAGGCGCGAGCGTGAACGCGGGGAGGCCCCAGCCAGCGGGGGCAGCAGCGGAGATGAGCTGGGGGACGAGGATGAGCCCGTCAGAAAACGTGGCCGCAAGGGCCGGGGCCGGGGACCACAGTCTTCCTCTGACTCGGGGCCTGAGGCTGAGCTGCAGAGAGAGGTGTGTGCTGTTGGAGTGCGTCCTGAACTCCTGGGGAGGGTAGTGACCAACGGGCTTCTCTGTCACACCCACCCCTTCCGGCAAATCCATTCCTGACTTCCACACATTGAATGAGCACCAACTGTGTGCTGGGTGCTGTGCTAGGACCTAAGGGCCAGGGATGTAGTGATAAAGCAATGAATGAGACACAGAGACCCCCACCATGAAAGCTGACATTCAAGCAGGAGAGATGGGACAACATGAGATGCATTTCAGACTGTTCTTGCTAAGAACAAGAAAGCAAGGTTGGAAAGAAAAAAAAAAAAAAGAAAGCAAGGTCGGGGGGCATAAGCTGTTGGGGTGAGGTTTTCTGTTTTAGGTAGGGTAAACTCTAAAGGCTTTAGTTGAGAAGGTGCCATTAAGTAAGGATCGGGACAAAGTGAGAGGTGGTCTGGAAAGCTACCCGGTGGGGACAGCACTCTAGGCAGAGGGTATAGTCCATGCAAACGTCCTGGGGCGGCATGGGCCTGGTATATTGGAAGAATTAGCCAGGAGTTCGTGTGGCTGGAGCAGAGTGGGTGAAGGGGAGAGAGGGGGTCAGGGAGCATAGGGAGGGGATGGGCAGGTTGAGCGGGGCCTTGGGGACAGAGGGGAGGACTTGGGCTTTCAGTGAAGTGGGAGCCCTGGAGGGCTGTGGGCTGGTGAGGACTTGACTGAGATGCTCACAGGCGCCCTCTGGTGCTTCTGTGGGGAGGCGGGACTCTGGGTGAGCCCGGAGCAGTTAGGAGGCCTCTGATGAGCCTTGGTAGTGACCATCAGGCACTGCAGTCCCTGCAGGCCTGTCTACTGCCCACTGTGTGGTCCACCTGAATCTGAGCCTGACTTTCTGGGCCTGTCACCTTTTAGATGGAGCCCCATATAATAGGAGGACGGGGGAAGCAAGACAATACTCTGTTCTTTTTCTCTCTTCCTTTGATCACAAAAAGGAGACCAAGACCCTTGCCACAGGAGAAATGTGTGCGGTGGGGTTGCCCCACCCATTGAGGGAGTAGTCCTTTTAGGGCCTAAGAGGCCACTGCCTGGGGACAGACTGGACACGAGTCCTTCCCACCTCATCCTGCCCATTGCACCAATTCCCAGCAGTGCAGAGGTGGTGGCAGGAAGTGTCCGGCTATATCTCTAAGGAGGAGAGCCCCCACTGCCCGCCATTCCAGCCTTCCCTTTCTCTGGCCGCTGCAGGCAAAGAAGACAGCAAGACAAAGCACAGAGCCTACGAGGAGACCCAGCCAGAAGGAGAAGAGAGGGCGCCCCGAGGAGAGGCCCCGAGCCAGGTCAGCACCCGCTTTGCCTCTTTCTGCCACAACTACCTGGGGGTCCAGGTTGCCCCATGCTGGTCCCTGTGCTTCTCAGCCTCCTGGGGACCCATTACCCCTCACCCCTTTTGGAAGGGACCCAATTTCCAAATTTAGTCTCAGATCCAATCTAAGTGTCCCATTCTTGGGGCCCCATCAGGTTATGTAGGAGGCACTGCTCTGGGATTGAGATTCCACCCCCAGGGGATACCACTCCATATCTGTGGTGTCACACTGAGGGTGCTCCTGGCATCAAGGTGGGGCCAGGACACTCCCCAGGAAAGTGACCAGTGGTTCTGAGACCAAGGCCCACCAAGGCAGGACACTGTTCCTTTCCCTGCTCACTGGCCAAGTGGGATTCCGGCATCAGTTAGTGAACCTGCCCATGGGATTTGGCAGCCAGCTGCCAAGTAGAACATCAAGTCTGAGCTTGATGGAAACGGGTGTCAAATTGGGCTACCTTTCCGTAATTCATTCACCCAGGTTTTTGTTAAGAAGCCACTCACCCGGGCAGCTCTAGTGGCGTAGCGGTTTGGCGCCGCCTGCAGCCCAGGGTGTGATCCTGGAGACACTGGATCAAGTCCCACGTCAGGCTCTCTGTATGATGCCTGCTTCTCCCTGTGCCTCTGCCTCTCTCTGTCTCTATGAATAAATAAATAAAATATTTAAAAAAAAAGAAGCAACTAACCCTCAGTTGCATATTAATAATGGTAATTCTAAGACTTGATGTCATTTGCTGGAAAGAACCCAAGGTTGCTTGGGTCACCTTCCCGGTCGCTTCAGGTACCTGCCTAGACCAGGTCATGATGGGCCTGACCCACCCCATCCCAGCTTCCAGGGCCCCCTGAGGGTGTCCCTCACAGTGGCTGTGGGTCCATCACCACACACTCAAGGACACCAGTGGCCGGGATGGGCGGGACTAAGGAGTGTGACTTCACAGGCCTGCGAAGGTGGAGCGAACCCGGAAGCGGTCAGAAGGGTTCCCACCTGACCGGAAGGTCGAGAAAAAGAAAGGTAAGGAGCCGGATCACTGAAAGGGAGGAGATGGTGCTGAGGAGAAGCTGGCTCCTGTCACCTCGGTGGTGCTGGGGCAGGTCCTCAGGCAGCACCGACAAAGGGGTTGTGGGAACCGTTGGGTGTGGGGGTCCAGGCCAGGTGGCTCCCTTGGCCCTGCGCAAGCCCAGCTGCTGCCTTCTCTCCTGGCTGCAGAACCTTCCGTGGAGGAGAAGCTACAGAAGCTGCACAGTGAGATCAAGTTCGCCCTGAAAGTTGACAATCCGGTGAGGTCTTTGTCGGGGCCCCGAGGCCACGGCACAGCCACATCCTCTAATCCAGGGAGTACCCCAGTCCCTCATGTCTGCAGCTCCCTTAGAAGTCTTAGGAAACTGGGATCCCTGGGTGGCGCAGCGGTTTGGCACCTGCCTTTGGCCCAGGGCGCGGTCCTGGAGACCCGGGATCGAATCCCACATCGGGCTCCCGGTGCATGGAGCCTGCTTCTCCCTCTGCCTGTGTCTCTGCCTCTCTCTCTCTCTGTGTGTGTGACTATCATAAATAAATAAATTAAAAAAAAAATTAAAAAAAAAAAAAAGAAGTCTTAGGAAACCAAGGCAAACCCAGGGTCTTTGTTCTTCTGGGTGTCTTCACGGAGGGCCCAAGTTGGCCACCTCAGGTGCATTGCTTAGCATCTCCACAAGGTGGTGCCAGCCAGCCCTCCCAAGTTCTGCAGCACAGCCACTGTCCCTGGGGTCCCCTGGTACTCCCTCCCCTCCCTGCCACCCAGGTAGCCCCATGGGGCCCCATAGGGTTCTTCAGCTAGGTGCTGTCCCTCCTCACTCACCCCCCCACCCCCCCAGGATGTTAAGAGGTGTCTGAACGCACTAGAGGAGCTAGGAACCCTACAGGTGACCTCACAGATCCTGCAGAAGAACACAGATGTGGTGGCCACATTGAAGAAGGTACGGTGGCATCCCAGCATTGGAAGGGGCTGGTGGCGGGCAAGGCAGGGGTGTGCCCAGGGAGCCTGGGTTCCTGGCCACAGCAGCTCTTGGTCAAGGAGGACGCCGGTGAGCCGGCAGGCAGGAGTGCGCTGTGCTGTGGTCATGGGAGGCACTGCCAGGGGTGGCAGCCCTGGGGGCGGGTCTCTGGTGGGGGGTGAGACCAGCTGCATCTCCTGAGCCAGGCCTCTTGCCGGCCAGATCCGCCGTTACAAGGCCAACAAGGAGGTGATGGAGAAGGCCGCGGAGGTCTACACCCGGCTCAAATCTCGGGTCCTGGGACCAAAGATTGAGGCCATCCAGAAGGCGACCAGAGCTGGGGTGGAGAAGGAAAGGGCTGAGGTGGAGAAGGCCGAGGAGGCGCTGGCTGGAGAAGAGGCTCCCATGGAGAGGGTAGAGGACGAGGCGAATGCTGGTAAGGAGCAGGGCAAGAGCCCTCTGCATTCCCCGTGCCCCATAGTGGGAGTGGCATGTTCCTGCTGGCACTCTGCATGCCTGGCTGTGTCCTCACATTTGCTGCGGTCTGGTGTGCGCACACACACCTGAGCTGCTCAGTGACCCTCAGAGCCAGGCAGCACTGTAGGCCATGTGTACAGTGGGGTGGGCCATGTGTGGGAGCGTTGCTAGGATGAAAGAGGTTATCTCCCATAGGGGCTGTGGCACTGGTCCTTACCAAATGGGAGAACCTTCTTCCTGCTGGGGTTATGTGGTGCCCATGCTGCTGCTGAGAGGTGTTCCTTCAGACTGGGGCAGGATGGCTCAGGGATGCCCTGCAGGGGGCATCACCTTATTTCTGTCCAAGCACCTAGCAAGCTTTTTCCTGTTGCCCTTGGCCACTCATTTACTGGCTTCTTCATCTTTAGACTTATATGGGCTGGGGCCATCTGGGAGGTGCATCTGAGAGGTGCAGGGGTGGGGGATGTGGGCATGCCCGGGGTCAGGGACCTCGAGGCCGGTGGAGGCTCCTTCAGGGCCCCTGGCCCCAAACCAGCTCACTTGCTTGCTCTCGGCAGACAGGGCTACAGGGTCCCATGAGCCTTTCTCCCGCCAGATCTCTCGGCCCCGGTGAACGGTGAGGCCACATCCCAGAAAGGGGAGAGCATGGAAGACAAGGAGCAGGAGGGAGGACAGAACTCCGAGGAGGGGCTGGGCTGTGGCTCCTCTGAAGAGCCATTACACAATGAGTAAGTATTGCCAAGGGCCATGGCTCCAGAGGCTGCTTCCCGAGAAGGCCTCCACGGTGTGGGCTGCTCGTTCTGGCGATGGCCACAGGGACCTGTTCCACCCTCACCTTTGCAGCTGACCCTCAGGTCCCCCATCGAGATTGCTCTGCAGCTCCAAGCTGCTCTGGGCCCGGCCCCTTGGAGGATCGCCTCCTCCTGGCACTCCGGGAGTGGGCACCATGAGCTGCTTGAAGCTGACGTCGCCGTGCTGAGGACCCTGGGCCTGCCTGTGCTTGGCGGGGGCCTGGCTGGGGCGGTGTGGGAGGCTTTGGACATGGGCTGTGCTCCTAGGGTGCTCGAGTGTCTGCTGGCGGTGGCAGGCCAAGGGCTCACCCCCACCGTGCTGTGCTCCCACCAGCAATGCACGGGAGGGCTCCGAGCTGGATGCACCCGGGAAGGAGCAGCAGGAGCGTGCAAGGGTGCGGATGGACTCAGAGTCCCTGGACGAGGAGGACAGCTGAGCCCTGGCGGCCAGGCCCACCTGTCACGCGTAGATGCCCCAGGCCTGCCCCGGCCCCCACCCGCCACCTGCGGAGCAGAGACCTGTTGGGGAAACGCCATGCTGTCCCTTTGTATCTGTCCCCTGGGTTGTTTTTCTGCCTAACTTCTGTGATTTCCAACCGACATGAAATGACTATAAAGGGTTTTTTTTAATGAAAGTCACTTTTATTGGCTCGATTTTCTAGTGTTGCTGGTACAGCTGTCCAGGGCTCGTCCAGGGACAAAGGGTTTAAGCCACAAGGTCACTGTTCACAGCAAATGCTCTGACACTGCCCTTGCTGGGTCTGGGCCTGCAGGGCTGACGGTGAAGGAGAGGGGAGAGGGGAGGGGGAGGCCTTTTCAGAAGTAATGCAGCCTCAAGTGGAGGCTGTGGTTTGACCCCAGACAGTCTTGCAGAGCCTTGCTCCCATTCCTGTTCCTACCCAGGCTGCAGGTGGTTCTGGGGCCCCCGAAGCAGCAGCTCAGGGGCACTCAAGCCATTCAGGCTTTGGGGTTGCTGTGAGCTAGCCGTTGTCCTTGCCATTCAGAGGGTATGAGTGTTGGGGGCAGGCCTTGCTCTGTGACCTTGGACAAGTGGCACTCCCATTCTGAGCTTCTCATTCCTCACCTGTAAAGTGAACCCAGGGTCGGCAGACAGACCTGTGTGCAGCTCCCAGCCAGGTACCTGCACACGGCAGTTGCTGGTTAAACAGTGGCGTCCACTGTGTGTCCTCCACCTTGCCCCTGGCCAAGTGCCTCCATCTCAGCCGAGGTCATGGTGCAGTGTGGCACTTCCTGGGCCTGGCATCCCCTCTTTGGTCTGGCTGGATATAAGCTCCAGTCACTGTGCTCAGTTTGTGTGAATGACTGTGTGCCCAGCGCCTCCACCCGTGGTGGAGACTGAGGAGGGACAAGCCTGAGGGGCTTTCTGACTTGTCCCCCCTGCCCCCTGCTGGTCTCACCACGGCTGGCTCCCAGGAGCCAACAGCAGCCCTTTGGGGAAGGCTGGCCTCTCGTCCTGAGCTTGGAGCCCCCAGTCATTTCTGAGAAGAGGGTGGTATGAAGGCACCTCAAGTCCCCTTAAGGGAGGGAGGCGGCCTAATGCGGGAGTTGTAGGTGGGATATGGTTCCAGGAAGCAGGGCTTGCCTGACAGGGTTCCCCCCAGCTGGAGGACAGGTGAAGCCCAGTGAGGGAGCACCTCAGCTTCCCCACGTGCCATCCATCTCACGTGGCTTACCTGGGCGTTTGAGGACAGTGTAGCCAGGAAGGAGGGGATGCTGCAGGGGTCCTAGCCCCTATTCTCCAGCCTGGGCTGACTGTGGGACCATGTTGAGCATATTTTATCTCATTACCCTTGGGGCCCCACTCCCACCCCGTGGGGAAGCCCTCTCCTTCCTTAGCCTCAGCCCAGGGGCCTTGGGGACCACAAAACATCAGCGCATGGCGAGGTGGGGGGATGTGCTGAGGCGGCAGGGCCCCCCAGTCTGGTCCCCCAGCTGGGCCAGTGCATAAGCATAGTTGGTGCCTGCTGCAGCATCACACTCAGAGCCCCTCGGCCACACCGGGCATCAGCAGAGGCGGTAGGAGCCTGCCGCCAGGTGACAGTAATATTCTGGTACTTTCTGGTATAACAGAACATGGTTGCTGAGAGCCAGGGTGTATGCTTCTGGGTGAGGACAAAGCTCCAGGAGCCCAGGATGGACCCAGACTGGGGTGCCCCAAAGATAAAGGGGCTCCTAATGGAGGCTGCTGAATGGAGAACCTTCTAGACCTACGCATGTTTCCACTTCTCTTTCCTAATTGGAGTGCTTGGTTGAGACCTTCAGGCAAAGGCCCTCTGTCAGCAGTCATAGCAGCCCTGGGCCCCTAGGCCAGGAGAAGGCCCAGGGGTCCTTGGGAAGAAAGGGTGGATGGCATAGGTAGGGCCAGAGCTGGGTGTGCACACGGCCGAACTCCAGTAGTTGGTGCTCCTGCTGGTGCCAGGCAGCGCCAGCCTGCAGGGTCCGGACCTTTAGGGAGTTGATGGGGGCTGGAGAGAAGGCTCGGCAGAGGGCTCTGTGGGCAGGAGGGACCTACAGCTGCTGCCCAGTGGGGTGCAAGGCAAAGGGCCCCACCAGCCAGCAGAGTGGCGGGCCGTGCTGCACACTCTCCAGCAGCTGCTCCAGCTCCCGCCATGCCTGGCACACAGCCCCGCGGCTCTGGGCCAGGCGCTCTGCCGGCAGCTCTTCCACGGAGCTGGCCGAGGAGACGAGGCTGTAGAGCTCACAGAGGCTGTGGCGCGCCCGCCCGACCTGCTGCTGGAGCTCAGAGGGGAGGCCTTGGAGGCCGGAGGCCAGGGAGCTGTAGGCCACGTGGAGCTGCTGGATGAGGCTGCAGGCCCTGGACAGAGCCCCGGAGTTCGGCACCTGTGGGAGACGGGGTGGTGAGGTAAGCTGGGGTTGAGGGAGGAGAGGGAGCCGTGGCCCTCTGTTACACACCTCTTGGGGAATGCCTTCTTCCAGTCCGCTGCTCGGACTCTGGTCCAGCCATGACTGGTCTTCTGGAGCCTGCTGGGCCTTTTCAATCTAGAAAGATAAATTACAGCTTCTCAGCAGGGTCATTTCACACACTGCCCTGGGGATATTCCTGGCCCTGGCCCTGGGGCCTTGTGTCCAGACCTTTCCATGGTGGAAAAGCCACAAGTTTAGAGCCAGCTGTGCCAGGATAGACAATAATCCATATTCTCTTTGGGCTTGTCAGAGACCAAATAACAAACCATCAGTTCCCAGTTCAAAATCCTTCCATGGCTCCCCAGTGCCCTTTGGATACAATCTAGCTCCTCACCGTGGCCTACAGGGTCTGCTCCCTGGAACTTCCCAGACCTCATCTCCTACTGACACTCTGTCACGCTCCGCTCTGGACACACTGGCCTCATTTTGTCTTCTGACCACTTCCAACATGCCTCTGCCTCAGGGCCTTTGCACATGCTGCCTGTTCAGCCTGGAGTATGCTTCCTCTGGCCTTTCACGTGGTGCCCATCCAGTCTTGGCTCCAGGTGAGGCCTTCTCTGGCCACCCAGTGCAGTGGCCCCTAGTCCCTCCCTGTCAGGTTTCATTATTCTCCTTATAGGCACATCTCTGTTGAGTTACTGTGGATTTTGGATGTTTGTTTCCTTGCTGTTTATCTACGCACCCCCCCCCCTTTGGGTGGAAGCTCTTTTGGCAGCTTTTCTTCCTAGATTGTTTTTTTTTTTTTTTTAAATTCATGGGAGATACACAGAGAGGCAGAGACACAGGCAGAGGGAGAAGCAGGCTCCATGCAGGGAGCCCGATGTGGGACTCAATCCCAGGTCTCCAGGATCACGCCCTGGGCTGAAGGTAGCTCTAAACCTCTGAGCCACCCAGGGATCCTGTTGGGTCCCCGGCACGTAGGAGCCTCCCCACCCCACCACCAGTTAAACAATCTCCCTTGTCCCAGCAGCTAGTGGGTGGGCAGAGTGTGGGCCAGGTGTGGACTCCCAGCTCACCCTTCAGGAACTCCCATCTGGGGCCTGCTGGTCAGCTCCAGTGCCCCACCCAAAACCAAACTCTCCGTGTTCACCTCAACCCACTCAGCACCTCCCGCAGGGTCCCCTGCTAAAAATCTCTCCCAAGCAGAGATGCCTGGCCGACTCTTGATCTCAGAGTTGTGAGTTCGAGCGGGCTGTTGGGTGTAGACATTACTTAAATAAAATACTCAAAGAAAAAAAAATTTTTTAAGCCTCCAAAATGTCTTAGGGTTCCTCTCTCTCATGCCTCCCATGGCTCCTATGGAGCCCACCTGTAGACCTTGTCAGCCCTGCCTCGGAGGCACTTGCAGGAGGACATGGGTGCCTCTCGCTGCCCCTGCCCCTCCCTGGTGGCCCCACCATCCAACAGTTGCCAGGATTTTTGTGGAAACCTCACTGATCTCCTGGGTCCAGCCCATTCTCCCATCAGCAGCCAGAGTGACACCCTAGCAAAACCCCTGTTGGGTCAGGCCACCACTCAGTCCTGGGTGCTGGGTGGGGGCTGGGCAGCATCCCTGGCCTCACCCCCTCGATGTCAGAAGCACCTTCTCCTGCAGTTGTGACAGCTACAAATGTCCCAGCGTCCCTGGGGCCTGATCATCCTTGTTGCGACTGTTCCCACTGGAATGGACCAATAGTCTTCAAACTGGGGCTCACCGGAGCCCCCAGGGCACCAATTAAAAACACAGTTGTGCGGGCACACCCCGGGGATCCTGATTCAGGCAGCATTGCCAGGCTTTTCACTGCATGTGTAAGTGGGGCTGATGTAGCTGAACATCTAAAACCCATGACCCATGACCTCAGGAACCTGGAGGTCCTCAGAGCTAGGGGTCCCTCACCACCTGCCTCAGCCACTGCGGGTTGCTGCTGCCGGACTGTGCAGCTCAGCGCTCCTGGTGCAGCAGAAGCGGCACAAGTGTTAGCTGTCAGCCGTGGGGAAGGCCTGTGCCAGCGGATCCTCGCGCTGTACATGCTTACCGGTCACCGCACGTGCCTAGGGGTGCAGGGGGAGATAATCTGAGGAAGGTGCCAGGGGGAGGGGAAGGCTCTTACCACCTGGAAGGAGTCCTCCAGCTGGGCCAGCGCACCCCTGGCCTGGAACTGGCCGTGCTGCAGGTGGCTCAGGGCATGCTCAAAAGCCCGCTGGCGGAAGCCAGGGGCCAGGTCGCCCAGACGCACAAAGTAGCTGCCCCGGTCGGCCGTGAGTACCTTTGGCCCAGGTTCGGAGGCAGCAAGCTGAGCTGGAAAGGAAGACAGGATTACTCAATCTGAGAGGCCCCTGGAGAATCCAGGGCTTGGGTCTCACAGAAGCCAGGCCCATGGGAAGTGGGGCCCAGCTGTGCTGTTCTCACCTTGCTCCTTGGCATCCATGGGGTGGAAAATATCCCCCAGTTCCCCCAGCTCAGCCCCGTGCGTTGCAAAGTTCATGGCTCCTTCGGGGACACATGTGGTGGCCGCAGGCCCTGCATCCTCCCTGCCCAGCGAGGCCCCTTGAGTGAATGTTGCCACAGCAGTGGCCTCCCTGGCAAGGTCCAGGCCTGCACACAGGGTGTCTGGGGCACTGGCTACTCCAGAGGATAGAGCCTCCAGGGGTCTCAGGATGGTTTGTTCCCCTCCTTTGTCTGGGCCACTGTAACTGGTGAGTCCACTCCAGATGGTGTCCTGGGTACCTGGTAACCAACTCTGGATGGTCTGCACTGCCCCTTTGGCCACACTCCCTGCTCCTGTGAGTCCAGTGGAAACTGCTTTGTTGCCTGTCAGGACTGTCTTGGTGGTGTCCAGACCAGTCTGGACAGTGCCCTTGGCTACACCCAATGCCCCAGTGAGCCCAGTATATAGGGTGTCTTTGGTGCCAGTTAGGATAGTCTTTGAAGTGTCCAGACCACCCTGGACAGCTCCTTTGGCCACGTTCATGGCACCAGTCATCCCGGTACACATAGTGTCTTTGGTGCCTGCCAGGACAGTCTTGGTGGTGTCCAGACCAGTCTGGACAGTGCCCTTGGCCATGTTCATGGCCCCTGTCACCCCAGTGGACACTGCATCTTTGGTGCCAGTTAGGATACTTTTTGAAGTGTCCAGACCTCCCTGGACAGCTCCTTTGGCCACATTCATGGCATCAGACATCCCAATACATACAGTGTCTTTAGTGCCTGACAGGACGGCCTTTGATGTGTCCATGCCAGTCTGGACAGCTCCTTTGGCTATGGTCATGGCACCAGTCATGCCAGTACACACGGTGTCTTTGGTGCCTGTCAGGACAGTCTTGGTGGTGTCCAGACCAGTCTGGACAGTGCCCTTGGCCATGTTCATGGCCCCTGTCACCCCAGTGGACACTGCATCTTTGGTGCCAGTGAGGATACTCTTTGAAGTGTCCAGACCTCCCTGGACAGCTCCTTTGGCCACGTTCATGGCCCCGGTCATGCCAGTACACACGGTGTCTTTGGTGCCTGTCAGGACAGTCTTGGTGGTGTCCAGACCAGTCTGGACCGTGCCCTTGGCCATGTTCATGGCCCCTGTCACCCCAGTGGACACTGCATCTTTGGTGCCTGACAGGACGACCTTTGATGTGTCCATGCCAGTCTGGACAGCTCCTTTGGCCACGTTCATGGCACCAGTCATGCCGGTACACACGGTGTCTTTGGTGCCAGTCAGGACAGTCTTGGTGGTGTCCAGACCAGTCTGGACTGTGCCCTTGGCCACACCCAGTGCCCCGGTGAGCCCAGTAGATAAGGTGTCTTTGGTGCCTGACAGGAGGGCCTTTGATGTGTCCATGCCAGTCTGGACAGCTCCTTTGGCCACGTTCATGGCACCTGTCATGCCAGTACACACGGTGTCTTTGGTGCCTGTCAGGACAGTCTTGGTGGTGTCCAGACCAGTCTGGACAGTGCCCTTGGCCATGTTCATGGCCCCTGTCACCCCAGTGGACACTGCATCTTTGGTGCCAGTCAGGACAGCCTTTGATGTGTCCATGCCAGTCTGGACAGCTCCTTTGGCCACGTTCATGGCACCAGTCATGCCGGTACACACGGTGTCTTTGGTGCCTGTCAGGACAGTCTTGGTGGTGTCCAGACCAGTCTGGACCGTGCCCTTGGCCACACCCAGTGCCCCGGTGAGCCCAGTAGATAAGGTGTCTTTGGTGCCAGTCAGGACGGCCTTTGATGTGTCCATGCCAGTCTGGACAGCTCCTTTGGCCACGTTCATGGCACCAGTCATGCCAGTACACACGGTGTCTTTGGTGCCTGTCAGAACAGTCTTGGTGGTGTCCAGACCAGTCTGGACCGTGCCCTTGGCCACACCCAGTGCCCCGGTGAGCCCAGTAGATAAGGTGTCTTTGGTGCCTGACAGGACGGCCTTTGATGTGTCCATGCCAGTCTGGACAGCTCCTTTGGCCACGTTCATGGCACCAGTCATGCCGGTACACACGGTGTCTTTGGTGCCTGTCAGGACAGTCTTGGTGGTGTCCAGACCAGTCTGGACCGTGCCCTTGGCCATGTTCATGGCCCCTGTCACCCCAGTGGACACTGCATCTTTGGTGCCAGTCAGGACGGCCTTTGATGTGTCCATGCCAGTCTGGACAGCTCCTTTGGCCACGTTCATGGCACCTGTCATGCCAGTACACACGGTGTCTTTGGTGCCTGTCAGAACAGTCTTGGTGGTGTCCAGACCAGTCTGGACAGTGCCCTTGGCCATGTTCATGGCCCCTGTCACCCCAGTGGACACTGCATCTTTGGTGCCAGTCAGGACGGCCTTTGATGTGTCCATGCCAGTCTGGACAGCTCCTTTGGCCACGTTCATGGCACCAGTCATGCCAGTACACACGGTGTCTTTGGTGCCTGTCAGAACAGTCTTGGTGGTGTCCAGACCAGTCTGGACCGTGCCCTTGGCCACACCCAGTGCCCCGGTGAGCCCAGTAGATAAGGTGTCTTTGGTGCCTGACAGGACGGCCTTTGATGTGTCCATGCCAGTCTGGACAGCTCCTTTGGCCACGTTCATGGCACCAGTCATGCCGGTACACACGGTGTCTTTGGTGCCTGTCAGGACAGTCTTGGTGGTGTCCAGACCAGTCTGGACTGTGCCCTTGGCCACACCCAGTGCCCCGGTGAGCCCAGTAGATAAGGTGTCTTTGGTGCCAGTCAGGACGGCCTTTGATGTGTCCATGCCAGTCTGGACAGCTCCTTTGGCCACGTTCATGGCACCAGTCATGCCGGTACACACGGTGTCTTTGGTGCCTGTCAGGACAGTCTTGGTGGTGTCCAGACCAGTCTGGACAGTGCCCTTGGCCATGTTCATGGCCCCTGTCACCCCAGTGGACACTGCATCTTTGGTGCCAGTCAGGACGGCCTTTGATGTGTCCATGCCAGTCTGGACAGCTCCTTTGGCCACGTTCATGGCACCAGTCATGCCGGTACACACGGTGTCTTTGGTGCCTGTCAGGACAGTCTTGGTGGTGTCCAGACCAGTCTGGACCGTGCCCTTGGCCACACCCAGTGCCCCGGTGAGCCCAGTAGATAAGGTGTCTTTGGTGCCAGTCAGGACGGCCTTTGATGTGTCCATGCCAGTCTGGACAGCTCCTTTGGCCACGTTCATGGCACCAGTCATGCCGGTACACACGGTGTCTTTGGTGCCTGTCAGGACAGTCTTGGTGGTGTCCAGACCAGTCTGGACAGTGCCCTTGGCCATGTTCATGGCCCCTGTCACCCCAGTGGACACTGCATCTTTGGTGCCAGTCAGGACAGTCTTTGATGTGTCCATGCCAGTCTGGACAGCTCCTTTGGCCATGGTCATGGCCCCGGTCATCCCAGTATACACGGTGTCTTTGGTGCCTGTCAGGACAGTCTTGGTGGTGTCCAGACCAGTCTGGACAGTGCCCTTGGCCATGTTCATGGCCCCTGTCACCCCAGTGGACACTGCATCTTTGGTGCCAGTCAGGACAGCCTTTGATGTGTCCATGCCAGTCTGGACAGCTCCTTTGGCCACGTTCATGGCACCAGTCATGCCGGTACACACGGTGTCTTTGGTGCCTGTCAGGACAGTCTTGGTGGTGTCCAGACCAGTCTGGACTGTGCCCTTGGCCACACCCAGTGCCCCGGTGAGCCCAGTAGATAAGGTGTCTTTGGTGCCAGTCAGGACGGCCTTTGATGTGTCCATGCCAGTCTGGACAGCTCCTTTGGCCACGTTCATGGCACCTGTCATGCCAGTACACACGGTGTCTTTGGTGCCTGTCAGGACAGTCTTGGTGGTGTCCAGACCAGTCTGGACAGTGCCCTTGGCCATGTTCATGGCCCCTGTCACCCCAGTGGACACTGCATCTTTGGTGCCAGTCAGGACGGCCTTTGATGTGTCCATTCCAGTTTGGACAGCTCCTTTGGCCACGTTCATGGCACCAGTCATCCCGGTACACACGGTGTCTTTGGTGCCTGTCAGGACTGTCTTGGTGGTGTCCATGCCAGTCTGGACAGTGTCCTTGGCCACATTCACTGCGCCGGTGACTCCACCGGCTACAGTCTCCTTGGTGCCTGTGAGTGCAGACCGGGTCATGCCTAGGCCTCCCTGCACCACACCTTTAGCTGTGTCTACCATGTTGGCCATCCCAGAGGAGATGGCACCCTTGGTCTTGGTCATCTTGGAGCACACCAGGTCCTTTGCCCCAGAGATCATCTGATAAGAAAGGACACATGTCATCAACAGGAGCACTGGAGATGCTTTGCACCCCAGACTTCAGCTAACCTGACCTCTCGTGTGCCTTAGGGATGGGGACTGTCCCCCAGAAAGCCTGCCTCTTACTCCCCACCCTGACATAGTTTCCCCGCACACTGTTATCCAGCCAGGGCCTCCCAGGGCCCAGCCTCGACCAGCCCTGTCCTAGTGCCAGACGGTTCCCCGTGATTCAGTAGGTCCCCATTGCTGATGGCAGGTCCCTACACCTCCGGAACCCTTGCCAAGACTCCTGGACTTGGGCTCAGCCAGTGCCTGTCATTGAATGACATAGTTGTTCACCCTGCCTACTCTTAACTTTTGGCAGATTTTGAACCTGGTTTCCCTGTTACAGCAGGTAGACCACATTGCTCATTAAAATGAGTATATTCAAGTAACAGCATTTAAAAAAGAATAATAGGGGATCCCTGGGTGGCGCAGCGGTTTAGCGCCTGCCTTTGGCCCAGGGCGCGATCCTGGAGACCCGGGATCGAGTCCCACATCGGGCTCCCGGTGCATGGAGCCTGCTTCTCCCTCTGCCTGTGTCTCTGCCTCTCTCTCTCTGTGTGTGACTATCATAAATAAATAAAAATTTAAAAAAAAAAAAAAGAATAATAACCTGTAAAAGGACAGGGACGAGCATTGGGTTTGAGTTCTGGGATCCTGTCAATGATTCGCATCATCTCTGACGTCCCAGAAGGCGGTTTTTCTCGTCAGTCAAACTAACAAAGGGCCGTGATGGCCTCAGAGCTGCCAGTACAGTTTCCCCCACCAGTGCGATACTGCCCTCCAGGGGACATCTGTGTTTGCCTCGACTTGGGCGGGGAGGGAGCTCCGGGCATGGAGCGAGCAAGGCCCGGGGATGCTGTGCAAACCCTGGGATGCCCCACAACCAAGCCCAATCTGGCTCCAAACGGCCACAGTGCTGAGGCGGAGGGGCACAGAGTGAGCACCTGCTGCCCCGCATCATCCCAAGTGGGCATCTGGACTCCATGCCTACGGAGACCTGGGTTTGAATCTCAGCTCTCTGCTCCCCCTCCCCCAGCCCCTGCCGTGTGACCTCGGGCGAGCCCCCTCTCCGAGCTCTGTCTAAGGCACGGTGGCTAAAACAGCACCTCCGCCGAGGACTGTGGAGGACTGTGGAGGACCGAGGACTGGAGTCAAGGTGCCTGAGGCACTTTGCAGGGAGTAGGTGCTCAACTAATGTGAGTAGAGAGGCTATAGGGACTCGGTGGGGAGGGAACAGGGTGTGGGTGCCAGGGTCTGGTTTAATCTGGGCCAGGGGGCCTGTGGCGCGCTTCACCCTTTGCGTTTCTGTCTGTCTGAGCTGAGGGCAGAGGAGCGGCAGTACGACTCCAGGGTAGGGGCTTGTGCTCGCTGACAGTTGTAACAGGGCTCTGGCACCTTGCCATGACATCAGTTCCTACGCTCCGCCAGACCTTGGGGACGTGATAGCGCGGGGGGTCCCCATCGTCTCGGCAGCCTCCAACCTCCCAAGGCTCAGGAACCACACTACCACTACCACGCCTTGCTGTGTGACCTTTGGCAGGTGGCTCGCCTTCTCTGTGCCTCAGCTGTGCAGGGTACTGCACTCCTCCCTCACAGGGCCGATTAACTAGCAAGCGGCGCCCAGAAAGCACGTGGCCCAAAGCCTGACACAGGTGAGTTACCAGTGTTCTCCGTCCCATGGTGCTGGGGGGCGGGGGCGCTCTCTGGGGCCCGTGCTCGGAGGTAAGGCAGTGCTGCTCCCATTTCACAGACGTGGCAACAGAAGCGCCGAGGGGCAGCAATGGCTGGAATCCCACAGCAGGACACACCAGGCTATCTGCCCCTTCCTTGGCCTGTGACAGCACAGCCCCTCAGGGGGCAGGCACCCGAACATCCTAGGAGGGCCCCCAGGAGGAGGTGGGAGCCATGAGGCTTTCCCAGCACCTCTCACCTTGTCTGAAGGCGGCGGCAGCTTCTCCCCGCTGGCCGTATGCTCCAAGGCGGTGGCTGTTGCAGGGACAAGGAGCTGGTCAGGCCACCAGGAAGGGCGAGGGATGTGGGCCGGCGTCAGCCACCCCCATGCCCGTTGCGCAACCGGTGGGCACAGCCTGAAAGGTCAGGAATGTCCCAGCCACCCTGCCAGGGACAGCCATGGGTCTGGCTCAGTCTGACCCTGAGTCCTGGAGCTCCTTGGGCTCCTGGAGCAGAAGTTCTCTGGAGCTTTTCTGTGCCTGGGTGCTGGACACTCCCCCCAGGGGCATCGCGGGAAGAGGATTTGGGGCCCGCCCCGCCCCTGCGGCAGCTGCCCGCTGCCCGTCGGGCCAGGTATGTGGAGCAGAAGTCAGCTGCCCAGGGCTCCGGGCCCAGAGTGAGGCCCGGTCCAGGAGCCGCCCCCGCTCCAGGCTCCCCTGCACCCACCCTCTGCATCCCCAGGGCTGTCCCAGCAAGGCGGAGAACCCCCCCCCTCCCGTGTCACCCCCGGAAGCCAGTGTCTCTCTGGGAACCAGGATGGAAACCGTCAATGAGCTCAGACATGGGGAACACCCAGCCCCTGGCCCGCCATGCGTCAGGAATGGGGTGGGGGACAGGGGAGGGGCTGAGAAGGTAGGAGACGTCGTTGCTGGGAGACAGGCTGTGTTCACAACCCCACTGTTGCTGCTTATGCTGCTTTGGGCCACTCACTGGCCATACTGATGCCTCAGTTTCCACATCTGGCACCAAATGAGCATGCCAGCTTGCAGCGTCTATTGAGACGACTCTGACCCATAAGAGCCACCCCCAAGTGGCCAGAAGCCCCTGCAGGGGGCTTTCCTCCAGGGACCCGCCTCCAGAGCCCCCACCTCCGTGGTGCTGTCCGCTCACCGTCATTCCCGGGCTGGGCAGAAGCACCTGCCGGATCGGCGGCGGGCCGGGCCTCTTTCGCCGAACCGTGGGCGCTGGCCATCAGGTTCCGGGCAGAACTGAAGCCAGGCAAGGACCCCAGGAAGCTCCCCAGGATCTATAGGGGGCAGGGGGCAGCGTTGGCAGGGCCAGGCCTTGGGGCAGGGCGGGGGAAAGCATCAGACAGCCCTGGGCTCCTGTGTGACCCCAGCAGGGACAGTTAGCGCTCTGAGTCTCAGTTTCCTTGCCTGGGCAATGGGCAGAGTCAGCCTGCCTCCCATAGACAGCTGAGAAGACCATCTCCCAGGGCCCCAAAGACCTATTCCCTCCACCGCCCCCACTTCACAGAAAGGGAAACTGAGACCCAGAGACGCCCATGGTTGGTTCAAGGTCACACAGTAAGGAAGGAGCCGAGGGTTGCCCGAGCTCCCCACTCCTTCACCCTCCAGCTTGGGACAGGAGGGAAGAGTTGGTGCCATGGCTCTGGGAGCCTTCCCGTCCTCCTCGGGAAGCCCTTCCGGACCCCAGTACCATGTGGTCACCTTCCCAAGGGTCTGGGGGCTCCCAGGCCCCAGAAGGGATCTCCCCCTCCCGCGCCCCCCCTTACCTTGCCCTTGGATTTGGGAGGATCCCGGCCTCCTTCGTCCTGAGCCGACATGGTAATGATACTGTAAGCAGCTGGAAGGGGGGCCGAGAGGGCGTGTGGGTCGGGGTCCCCAGGCCTCCCACCCCACGCAGCCCCCCGACCACACCCCTAGTCCCAGCTGCATGCTGGAGTGGCTCACCTGGGGCGTGGAGGGTCCCTCGGAGCCACAGGCACACAGCTGGCAGCCGGCTCAGCTCTCGGCTACCAGGCCTTATAGGGTCTGGGGCAGGCGCGGGCCCGGCAGCAGAGGCAGGCGGCCAGCGGGCTGGGGGAGGGCCCTGGGCGGTCACGTGCAGCCGGCCCGGCCCAGCGTGGGCCCTGGGCCCAGCACCTTTCCCCCGCTAAGAGCACCAGGCGGCCTCTGCCCACAGCTCCCACCCCCACCAGGCTGAGGGTTCTCGGGCCATCCCACGTCCCCAAGGCCCTGCCTGGGTGCTCACACGGCCGCCCGCTTCCACCCAGTTCAGATCTCTGTTCTGCTGAGACGCCTCAGCCACTTGCCACCCTTGGGCCTCGATTTACCTTCCGGACTCCTCACTATGGCCCACGAGGTCCCGCTTTCTCTTTGTCCTCACCTCCTGCAGCTCTCTCCCCTTCGCGCATTCTTCTGCACCTTGCTGTTGCCCCAACACACCAGGTGTGGTGCTGCCCCAGGACCTTTGCACATGCTGGAGGGCCCTTCCCCACAGCACACAGTGCCCTCCCTCCCCTCCCTCAGGCCTGTTTTGTTCCCAGCTTGTCTTCTGCAATCGAACTGTTCCTGGCACACGCCCTGCATTTAATAAGCATTTGGCCAAATGGGCCAACTCGCAGGATAGTTCTGAGTGTGAAACGTGGTCAAGCATGTGACCTGTTCACCCCAGTGCCTGGTACCCAGCAGAGGTACTCAACCAACACTAACTTAGCCTTGTCCAGGCAGAAAGGGAGAAGCAGGATCCCCCCTAAGTGGGAAGGGGACGCGTCACTCTCCAGCAGGGACTACTTCCCTTGATCAAATAGATGGAAACACGGTGTCTAAAGAGCCAGGGGATCCTGGGAGTGAGATGCAGGCCTGGTGCGCTGGGAACAGCCCAGAACGACTTCCTGGAGGAGGCATCCCGTTGCCTGAGGCCACAGAGCCAGAGTGGCAGAGACAGGATTCAAACCCAGCCCCAGGGTGTTTGCAGAGTGGGCCGTCTGTGGGCAGATGCACAGGCCAGCCGTCCCCGTGCTAGGTGTCCCCTGCCCACTCCTGGGATGGGGATCCCAGCTGCGTGCTGGGGGATTGGGGGGCAGACCCCGTGGGTGGCCCTGGGCACCGAGCGGGGAGGAGGGGGGTCTGGACATGGCCCAATGAGCCCTAGGTCATCTCCTTGGAGCCTCCGCTGTGTTTGCCAAACACTTGGGGAACAAACTGCAGATATCCCCCAATCCTGTCCTTCCTGCCAATGCTTCCCAAAGGTGGCGGGGCGGGGGGGGGGGACACTGGGTGTGCCCTCCCCTGCCCACGGGGCTGCCACAGCCCAGGGAGAGCGGAGAAGCCCAGCAAAGGCGGCAAAAGTGATCATTAACACGCGCATCAGGATCCACCCTCCTCTGCCCACAGCTTTTTGGGGCTCCCATCTCCCCGGATGAGACCTGAGTCCTCCTCACGACCCTGGCCCCCTGTCACCTCCCTGTCATCCCCTCCTTCCTCTATCGCCTCAACTCACCCTGCTCCAGACACATGGGCCTCCTTGCTCTTCCCCCAACAACCCAGTCCCGGTGCTGCCCCAGGGCCTTTGCACGGGCTGCACCTGCCAGAATCCCCATTGGCCTTTGCTTATATGTCACCTCCTCCAAGAGGTCTTCTTAGACCTACTCCCCCAATTTAAAAATATACACCCCTCTCCCTGCCCTCACACGCCCCCCGTCCTCCGTCCTTTGCATGTTCTTTGTCATCTATTAAAACTAAGGCAAATCATGTATGTATTTGTCCTATTTGTCGCCTCTCAGCTGCACTATCAAGGCCCAGAGGGCAGGATTTTTACCTGGTTCGCTGCCCTCCTGGCACACAGCAGGTGCACAACAGGATGTGTTGAGTGAACAAATGAATGAGTGAATGGCAGCTCCCGAGCGCCAAGCATGTCCCGGGACCGAGCACGGCCGCCGCACAGAGGGAAACCGCTGGGGTGAGGGAAGGCTTCCTGGAGGAGGTGGCATTGGGGCTGGGGCTTGAGGATGGATGGGATGTGTCCACGAGATGGGTGGTGGGGTGGGAGAGCACTGCAGGCACGGCCGGGGCGAAGGCCCCCAGGTGGGGAGGTGTGCACAGTCCGGTGGGACTCCAGCAGCGTCTCTGGAGGGACCAGAAGTTCTCAGCTGCCCCGGCGAGGAGTTTGGATGTTTGGTCTGAGGGCAAGTGGGAGCCACGGAGTGTCCTGAGCAGGGGCCGGGAGGGGAAGCTGCTAGGGGGCGGTAGTTCAGCCTCCCGGCACTGCCCCTGGGCCAGGTCCTAGGGAAGCCAGGGGCCACCCTGACCTCACCACGTTACACTGTGCTTTCCTAACACCCCACCCGGCCACAGGGGAGTCTGAGGGGCGGCCAAGAATTCAGTCAAAGGACGGGAGGGCCCCCCCAGAGACTGGCCCGTGGCCCTTCCCCTACCTCTGTGTGCCCCCATCCTGGCCAGTGCAGCTGGAGGACTCAGCAGGATCAGCCCCTGTGGGTCCAGGGAGGTTGGCATGGGAGGGGCTGCTCCATCTGACTACTTCTTCCCTCAGATCCTGTTCTCCAGTTTCCGAGAAATTCATTTATACTAAAGTGTGAACAGCTTCCATCCCAGGAAGCTACACCCACGTGCCTAACCCAGGTGGGGAGGGCGCTAGTGGGGGTGGGGGGGACTCCAGACAGGCTGGCAGGCTGGCCAGAGAGGCATTCTCACTGCTTTCGAATCTTGAACCTTGGCTTGTGCCACACAGTCCCACACCTGAGCAACTGCACACCCGGCACCCTGCAGCTAAGACCCACCCCAGGCCTGAACAGAGGCCATAGGCCTTTGGACAACACAAAGCACCTTTATTCTAGAGCACGAACCCCAAAGGGCAAAGCAAGTGGACGTGCAGGTCCGGCTGATACAGCTGCATATCCTCGGGGACCCTGAGTCGAGGATGTACAAGGTGGCGGGGGAGTGGGGGGTGCTCACATTTCAAAACCCCAGAGGCCACTGGGCAAAACATGTGCTTCTGTGGGTTTTGATGTGCTTCTTGGGGTGCAGGGATGGGGGCCGCAGTCAGCTGAACCCAGCTGGGGGTAGTGGGACCCGAACTGGATTCCAGTCCCCATTGTCCAGGGAAGGACTGGGGAGAGTCTGAGAGCAGTGAAGCGGGTCTGGGATTCTGAATTCAGCTCGCCCCACCCCCAACCCTGTCCCCCAGGGCGAGGTCACCACGTGGGCTGTCAGCGCCTACGCGCGGCCACGAGGGGGCAGCAGGGATCCCGGGACACTGGCCCTCGTGGCCTCTGCTGCCCCGCTGGCCCCACATGGTCAGAAGTCCAGCTCTGGCATCAGGGTGTGCTTGGGGCGGCCGGGGGGCGGGGGTTCCTCCTGGGGAGCGTCCTCCGGGGGGGCCGGCCCGTCCCCGTGCTGGGCCTCCCAGGCCCTCTGCTGCGCCGGCCAGTCCAGGTGAGCCCAGCGGGGGTCAGGGCCCCCCACCACCTCGTCCACCAGGGCCTCCAGGTCAGGCGGGGGCGCGGGCCGCTCCACGAGGATGGGCGCGAAGGGCCCCACCAGCCAGGGGAGCGGCACGGCCTGCAGCACCAGCTCCAGCAGCTCATCCACGCAGGCATGCGCCCGGGCCACGCTGCCTCGGCCCTCGGCCAGGGCGGCGGCCGGCACGTCCCCGAAGCAGCGGGCGTCGGCGAAGGCGGACTGCAGGGCGTCCACGCTGCGCCGCACCTCGGCCACCTTGTCCTGGGCGCCCCGGGGCAGGCCCCGCACACTGGTCTCCAGCGCGTCCACCGTTCCCTGCAGCTCCCTCATCAAGCTGCGGGACAGCACCAGCGTCTCCAGCTCCGCCTGTGGCAGAGGGGCGGGGCCTCAGTGTCCCAGACCAGCGCCCTGCCTGCCTCAGTTTCCCCATGGATGCTCCCAACAGCTGGCCTCAGCACTTGTTTTGAGACAGCTGGAGCCCGGCCACTGGCAACCCTGGGCAGATCCAGAAGGCACCCCCCTCCCCCCCACACACACCCCTTGGTCACCCTCTCCCCGCCACCCTACCTGGCTTCGGCGGCGGCGGCCGTTCTCTGGGGCGTGCTGGTTCCAGTCCTCCCAAAGCTCGTGCACCTTCCCAGGGCGGGCCGGGGCCGTGGGGGTCGCCCCGCACTGCATGAGGTTGATCTGAGGGGGCGGAGGCAGTGGTAGTGAGAGCTGGAGGATTTGGGGGCTCGGGGGTGGGGGGCCCAGCACCCTAGCCTGGATCTGGTCTCGATGAACATCTAGAGAGCATCTTCTTCCCTGCAGCCTTCCCCGCCTACTGATCTAGCCTGGCCCACCTGCCCGGTCTCTCCTCTGCTCTTGGCCAGACCCTACGCCCCGTGGTTCCCCTGAAGCTCAGACTCACTTTGGCCGTGCTGCTCCATCTGCCAGGGACAGGTTTCCCTCCACCCCATAGCCCTGTCTGGCTCACTCCAGTTTAAGTTTCAGTGTAGATGCCTCCGCCTCCAGGAAGTCTTCCCTGCTCCCCTCCTGGCTGGGCAGATTCCACAGCACCTCCATGTTCTCCATCATGACCCTGATCCCCCTACTGCGCTGTGAGTGTCCTGAGGGGGCCACTGCGCCCTCTTCGGTGCCCAGGGCAAGGCAGGCATCAGAAGATAAATAGAAATAAATTGGAGTCCATCCGCGCTCCGGAAATAGGATTCAGCCTTAGAAGGGAGGGACATCCTGACACCTGCTGCAACGTGGATGCACCTTGAGGACAGCGTGCCCGAGGACGTAAGCGGCCTCAGGTGCTCATCGGCGCCCTCTGGTGGCGGCTGCGGGGAGGGCAGAGCGGGGTCCCGGATGGAGCTGGGGGACCGGCTGGACCAGGCCGCAGGAAGAGGAAGGGGGGGCTGTGGGCAGAGCTGCAGCACCGGCCGCTGTGCGGGGCGTGGGAGCGGAGGAGAGAGGGGAATGGAGGATTGCTCCCGGGCTTTGACCTGACCCCCCTGCAAGGACGGAGGCTGAGACACAGGAGGAGCAGGCCAGGGGCATCTGAACTCAGCAGTTCAAAGGGAGGGATGGACAGTGAG